GAGGCAAGGATATACAATGGAAAAAAGACAACCTCTTTAACAAGTGGTGCTAGGAAAACTGGTCAACCACTTGTAAAAGAATGAAACTAGAACACTTTCTAATACCATACACAAAAATAAACTCAAAATGGATTAAAGATCTAAATGTAAGACCAGAAACTATAAAACTCCTAGAGGAGAACATAGGCAAACCACTCTCTGACATAAATCACAGCAGGATCCTCTATGACCCACCTCCCAGAATATTGGAAATAAAAGTAAAAATAAACAAATGGGACCTAATGAAACTTAAAAGCTTTTGCACAACAAAGGAAACTATGAGCAAGGTGAAAAGATAGCCTTAAGAATGGGAGAAAAATAATAGCAAATGAAGAAACAAAGGATTAATCTCAAAAATATACAAGCAACTCCTGCAGCTGAATTTCAGAAAAATAAATGACCCAATCAAAAAATGGGCCAAAGAACTAAACAGACATTTTTCCAAAGAAGACATACAGATGGCTAACAAACATATGAAAAGATGCTCAACATCACTCATTATCAGAGAAATGCAAATCAAAACCTCAATGAGGTACCATTACATGCCAGTCAGGATGGCTGCTATCCAAAAGTCTACAAGCAATAAATGCTGGAGAGGGTGTGGAGAAAAGGGAACCCTCTTACACTGTTGGTGGGAATGCAAACTAGTACAGCCACTATGGAGAACAGGGTGGAGATTCCTCAAAAAACTGGAAATAGAACTGCCATATGACCCAGCAATCCCACTCCTGGGCATACACACCAAGGAAACCAGATCTGAAAGAGACACTTGCACCCCAATGTTCATTGCAGCACTGTTTATAATAGCCAGGACATGGAAGCAACCTAGATGCCATCAGCAGACGAATGGATAAGGAAGCTATGGTACATATACACAATAGAATATTACTCAGCCATTAAAAAGAATACATTTGAATCAGTTCTAATCAGATGGATAAAACTGGAGCCCATCATACAGAGTGAAGTAAGCCAGAAAGATAAAGACCAATACAGTATACTAACACATATATATGGAATTTAGAAAGATGGTAACAATGACCCTATATGCAAGACAGAAAAAGAAACACAGATGTATGGAACAGACTTTTGGACTCTTAAGGGAGAAGGCAAGGGTGGGATGATCTGAGAGAACAGCATCGAAACATGTACATTATCAAGTGTGAAACAGATCGCCAGTCCAGGTTGGATGCTTGAGACAAGTGCTCAGGGCTGGTGCACTGGGAAGACCCAGAGGGGTGGGATGGGGAGGGAGGTGGGAGGGGGGTTCAGGATGGGGAACACATGTAAATCCATGGCTGATTCATGTCAATGTATGGCAAAAACCACTACAATATTGTAAAGTAATTAGCCTCCAACTAATAAAAATAAATGGAAAAAAAAACCCCAAAACTATTTGTCTTTCCCCTTTGATAACCATTTAAAAAAAAAAAAAAAAGAGCCTCTTGATGAAAGTGAAAGAGGAGAGTGGAAAAGTTGGCTTAAAGCTCAACATTCAGAAAACAAAGATCATGGCATCCAGTCCCATCACTTCATGGCAAATCGATGGAGAAACAGTGGAAACAGTGGCAGACTTGTTTTTTGGGTTCCAAATTCACTGCACATGGTGATTGCAGCCATGAAATTAAAAGATGCTTGCTCCTTGGAAGGAAAGTTATGACCAATCTAGACAGCATATTAAAAAGCAGAGACATTACTTTGCCAACAAAGGTCCGTCTAGTCAAGGCTATGGTATTTCCAGTGGTCATGTATGGATGTGAGAGTTGGACTGTGAAGAAAGCTGAGAGCCGAAGAATTGATGCTTTTGAACTGTAGTGTTGGAGAAGACTTTTGAGAATCCCTTGGACTGCAAGATCCAACCAGTCCATCCTAAAGTAGATCAGTCCTGGGTGTTCATTGTAAGGACTGATGTTGAAGCTGAAACTCCAATACTTTGGCCACCCTGGCAAAGAACTGACTCATCGGAGAAGTCTCTAATGCTGGGAAAGACTGAGGGTGGGAGAAGTGGGAGACAGAGGATGAGATAGTTGGATGGTATCACCAACTCAATGGACATAAGTTTGAGTAAACTCCAGGAGTTGGCGATGGACAGGGAGGCCTGGTGTGCTGCAGTCCATGGGGTCGCAGAGTCAGACATGACTGAGCGACTGAATTGAACTGACACCACTATAAAACTTTGCAATTTCAGCTGTGGGTTATAGGCCTGTAGCATTGATATTACCTGGGATCTTGCTAGAAATGCAGTCTTAGATACAAAACCTGCATTTCCACAAGATTCCTGGTTGTTTCATATGTACATTAAAGATGGGGACTTGCAGATGCAGAGGATCCCAGAACATAGAGTTATGAGAATTAATAATCTTACTTCTTAGACACCATTGTATATTTAACCTTCTTGGCATAGCCATTTTTGCTTTCTCAGCACTTTTTCATTTCTTTATATTCTCTAAGTTATCATATGTTGCTCTTTTCTCATTCCATCTGTAGCACAAAATATTACATATCTCTAAGATCTAGAAAATTGTAGCTGATCAGTCATCCACTACCTTTTCTTTCTTCATTCAAAATATCTTATTTAATTTTGAAAAGCTGTATTAAACTGTTAGTTTCTAATTCCTTAGAATAAACAGATACTAACACAAATATAAACTGAGACATATTAATTAACCAATGTATATCTTTAATAGGAATCATGTACATCTTACTTTCTCACAATTTCTATCCAGTTATTTAGATAATTTTGTTATGTGAGGTGCTTACTTTTTTGGATTTTTTTCTAAGAAGTATTTTGCTAGCTGCCTTTTCTTTAAATAAGAGCCATACCACCTCAGGTAAAATTAACCTTGGTCTGTTAACAGAAACATTAGACAGTGTTTGGTCTTTAGATGTTTAAATATATCCATATCTGTAACATTCTTGAGAGGGAGGTCACTGTTGTGTGGAATATCAGCTCTGAAAATACTTGGCTTGAACCTCGAGCAATCCAACCAACCTTGGATCTTCTTTGTCTCCAGATCATCTACAAATGTTAAGGTTTTTTCCTATGTCAATAAAGAATATATACACACACATGAGTTTGATTTTGTTTTTAAATTAAACATTGAGGTAACATAAAATAAGATTTATAAGGTATATGTAAGGTATCAAGTATCATAGTACAATGAAATCCATGTAGCCGCTGCCCAGTTTAAGTAAAATAACATACCTTTAAATCGATAAACCTATATGCAAAACAGAAAAAGAGACTCAGATGTATAGAACAGACTTGTGGACTCTGGGAGAAGGCGAGGGTGGGATGTTTCAAGAGAACAGCATAGAAACATGTATATTATCTAGGGTGAAACAGATCACCAGCCCAGGTTGGGTGCATGAGACAAGTGCTCGGGCCTGGTGCACTGGGAAGACCCAGAGGGATCGGGTGGAGAGGGAGGTGGGAGGGGGGTCCGGGATGGGGAATACATGTAAATCCATGGCTAATTCATTTCAATGTATGACAAAAACTACTGCAATGATGTAAAGTAATTAGCCTCCAACTAATAAAAATAAATGGAAAAAAAATTAAAAAAATAATAAAATCCTGCCCCTGCTAGATACCATAATCTTCCCTTCCTGCTCCCTAATCACTCTAGAATTTTATGATTATTTCCTTGCTTTTTCTCAGTTATACCACACTTGTAACTCTAAATACTGTTTATTTTGAACTTTTATATTAATAGAATCATATGATATATATTTCGTGACTTTTTTTTTTAAACCTGACATTATTTTCCTGGTATTTATCTGCAGTATTTTTTGCAGATAAAATTCACTAATTCTCACTACTCTATTGGCAAATACTGAATATACCTTAATTTATCCATCTACTACTAGTGGCAAGTTGGCTTATTTGCAATTTTTTGCTATTAAAACTGTACTGAGGGACTTTCCTAGCGGCCCAGTGGCTAAGAATCCACCTTCCAATGCAGGGAATGCGGGTTGATCGCTAGCCCAGGAACTGGGATCCCATATGCCCGGGACCTGAGCCTGAGCACCACAACTAGAGAGAAGCCCACAGGCTGCAGTGAGGCTCCTGATGTAACCAAAAGTAAAATAAACGTCAAAAAAGTGAAGCCGCTGCACTGACAGGGTCTTTGTGTTTATGCATTAAGGACACGAGTCTCTTTATGGCAGTGATTCAGTCCTCACTGAGTACCACTGACTATGTTTTATGATAAATAACATGTAATAATTCTTCTATATTGATTTTATAAGGACTTGCTTTCACACAAAAGACAGCACATGATAAATTTAAGAATAATATTACCACATTTCAACTTTTTGGAAAATGTATTTCAGACTGTTACACAGAATCACATGATCCTCAAAATTCAAGTTTACAACTGATCTTCATAAGAGCCTTATCCATATACACATTAGTTATTCAGAAGGAAAAATTTGATACAGTATTTTAGTAGTTACATGATTTGTAACCAATACCGAATTACTGAAAGCTGAAGAACTCTCAATGAATTACATATAGGATAACCACTCTCAAATACAAGAAGCGAGACAATAAAGGAAAATTTTCTGTTCAGTCATAGAAAAATGATAAAGGCATTTATGATGAGATAAATGCTTTAAGTTAGTACACAACCTACTGGGTGAATAAAACTGCCACATTGGTTGGTAGTTTTGCTCTTGAATATATGTGGTATGGTATTATCCCTTTTGGAGAAGAAAATGGCAACCCACTCCAGTATTCTTCATGGAAAATTCCATGGACAGAGGAACCTGGTGGGCTACAGTCCATGGGGTTGCAAAGAGTCAGACACAACTGAGCATGCACACATTACCCAATTATCTGACATTAAGTAATACGTAAAAATTCAAATCTGAGTTCTCAAAATGGTTGCTTGGTATTTTTGAATAGTGTCTGGTGTACTCAGAGTGTTTCTTTTCATTTATCTTTTCTTCTTTTATAAGGTTTAGTGGGACTGTGCAATGCTGGAGCAATAGTCCAGAATGTCCTGAATAGTGAATTCCATTGTAACACCAGATCCAGGATAACAGCGAGCTATCAAACCTTCAAAATGCTTGTACTGGCGAATGAATTCATCCTGCATGGAGTGCCACACCACCTACAAAATGAAAATGAGAGTCACTAAACTACAACTGGAAACAATACATAACAAGAATGTAGAAATACTGTCAAGACATATTCTAAGCATTTAGGATAGCATAATTCACTTTCACACATTGGAGAAGGAAGTGGCAACCCACTCCAGTGTTCTTGCCTGGAGAATCCCCGAGACGGGGGAGCCTGGTGGGCTGCCGTCTATGGGGTCGCACAGGGTCGGACAGGACTGAAGTGACTTAGCAGCAGGATAGCATAATAGTTCATCACTATGGATGGTGACTGCAGCCATGAAATTAAAAGATGCTTGCTCCTTGGAAGAAAAGCTATGACAAACCTAGACAACATATTAAATAGCAAAAACTTCACTTTGCTGACAAAGGTCTGTAGAGTCAAAACTATGGTTTTTCTAGTAGTCGTGTACAGATGTGAGACTTGGACCATAAAGAGGGCTGAGTGCCAAAAAACTGATGTTTTCGAACTGTGCTGGAGAAGATTCTTGAGTCCCTTGGACTGCAAGGAGATCCCACCAGTCAGTCCTAAAGGAAATCAACCCTGAATATTCATTGGAAGGACTGATGCTGAAGTTAAAGATCCAATATTTTAGACACCTAATGTGAAGAGCCGACTGACTGGAAAAGACCCTGATGCTGGGAAAGATTGAGGGTGGGAAGAGAAGACGGTGGCAGAGGATGAGATGGTTAGGTAACATCATCGACTCAATGGACATGAATTTGAGCAAACTCTGGGCAGTCCATGAGGTCGCAAAGAGTCAGACAAGACTGAGCGACTGAACTGAACTGGGAGAGAGTGAAGGACAGGGAAGCCTGGTGTGCTGCAGTCCATAGGGTCACAGAGTCAGGTTTGAGCGACTGAACAACAACAGTTAAGAATGTACATCCTGAAGCAAGATTCGTAACTCCTTGAGTGACCTTGAGTATGTTACACCACTCTTCTGTGCCTCAAGGCCCTTATCTGTAAACTGGGTAGTGATAATACCTTCCTCACAGGTTCAAATGAGATTAAATGAGTGAATGTGTGTAAAGTGCTCAGAACAGTGTTCGACACAGTAATGTTTATTACATTTTAGCTGTCATTATATCTGTTCCAATATCTAACATAGATGTGGCTATGCACTACTATGTATGAAATAAGACTAAGGATTAAATGAAATTTCACAGCAGATGAAAAATTAAGGATGCAAAACACTTCTTGATGACATGGAGGACACCAACAAGAGTCAGACTAATCATGAGCAATCAAAGGAATCTATAATTTAGAAGTGGAAACTAAAATGCTGATAGATATAAGCAGAAATCAACACAACACTGTAAATTAACTATACTTCAGTCAAAAAAAAGTAAACAAATGAACAGTCCCATAAGAAAATAAATTTGACAACTATCAAGACAGAATTTGACACACACACACTGACATATTAGTAGTATCAATAGGTTACATTTATTCGACTTATTTCATATCAGCACAGTACAAAGTGCTTTATGTATGTATTATTCTATTTAAGTCTCATGACAACCTGGTGAGGGTGGGTACTATGAACGAACACCATTTCTATCTGCCAGTTCAAAGAGTGCCTTCTTCTAGGATTTTTCCTTGTAAATCCTAAATGTCACAAATCTTAAATTCCTAATGTCAGCTTAAGACTATTTTACTCAACAGCTTTACTTACACGTTTTGCTTCTCATCTTTTAGCTCACAGTATTTCTTCCACTGGGAATGCCACTTCTATTTTATCTGTTAAGTTAGTACCTGACTTCCAGAGACTAACATAAATGCTTTCCTTCATGAAGCCTTCCATGATGCTAAAATCAAGAGTAATTCTTACTCATCTCTAACTGAGGTTTAAACCTGACTCTATCATACATTAGCTATGGGATCATGGTCACATTACTCTACCTCTCTAAGCTCTGATTTTCACATGTATAAAATGGCAATGGCAATAATATTAGTGCCCACCTACAGAGTACAGGTATTATTTCTGCTTTTCAAATAAGGAAACTGAGGCTCAGAGAGGTGAACTAACATGCTCCAAACCAGGCAGTTTTACCTGGAGGCAGATTATGAACCCATATCCAGGCTCCCACGCTCAGAATTACTCCACATCCCATCCCCTTACTACCCTCCAAACTAAAACAAAACACAGAAAGTAATGAAAAACCCATCCCCAAACAAAAGCAAACAACTTAATGTCTCAAAATGATACAACAGAAATATAAAATACACAGAGATAGCCATATAAACTTGTATAAATATTCCTTTCTTCCTCACAATTTACTAATCTAGTCTGCATTTTATATGGCGCTTTCCTCCTGCACTAAAATTAGAAAATGTATAGCATTTCTAGAGGAATATTTAGGGGAAAATAGATATATATAAGGATGTGCAATCTAGGTAGGTTAAGAGAACTAAAGCATACCTGAAGTAAGTTCTCCTCTTCACATAAATGTTTATCAACCTTCTTGTAGAGGTTATCGAGACCTTTTTTCACTTCTTTTCCAGGATACTCTTTAATAACTTTTCGGAGTTCTTGTTTGTTAAACGCAAGTTGATAGCTCACTTCCTCCTCTCTTATGCCCTGTGCTACCCGAGCTTCCACACCTTCAAAGAAATGCTTCAAGGAAATGAGAAGAAACAATGGCTAAGAATGGCTCTCATTACCACTTAAATTTAAAAAAAAAATCTGATTATAAAATAGTATATATCCAGTGTAAAAATCAGACAGTGTGTGAAAATATAAAGGATAAAGTAATAATCAGCTATTATCACACTACTCAGAGATAAGCACTGTCAAAAGACTAGAATTCCCTCTAGTCTTTTGATGTGTGAGTATGAAAATGAGATTGATTTTGTATGCTATATTTTTCATTTAGTATTTTATGTTTTTCCCAAAGTATAAATTTTAATGGCTGCATCACGTTCCATCCAATGACTATACTATGTTTATTCATTCCTCCAGTATTAAGTATTTAATATTTTTTACTTTTTCTCTTGAAGTTGGCAAAATCTATTCATCAAAAACAAAATCTATTATAAATACAGCTATAAATAACTTTCATACATAGGTATTTACCCACATTATTGATGACTGTCCAGCATAAATTTCTAAGACTATAATTCCTCAGTTGAGGAGTGTAATTGTTAAGTATTCTGAAGATTCTTCATATACATAAATTGCTTCCCAGAAAAGTTCAATTACTTTATATTTCTGTCAGCAGTATATGACACTATTTTATCTTATCATACTATCATCAGCATTATCATAATTAAAAAAAAATCTTTGTCATTTTGAAAAGTGAAAAAGGGGGACTTTCCTGGCAATCCAGTGGTTAAGACTCTGCCCTTCCAATGCAGACGGCATGGATTAGATCCCCGGTGGACGGACGGGGAGGGGGAACTAAGATCCCACATGCCAAGTGGTGTAGCCAAAAAAAAAAGGTAAGAAAGGTTTATTTGTCATTTTATTTCAATATTCTTCAGCTAGAAATGAAGTTTATCTGCTTTCCATATGCTCAGTAAGTACATTCAGAACCCATACCCATTTATATATTGGGATCTTACTGCTTTCCTGATTGATTTTAAAAAGATCTTTTATATTAAGTATATTGACTGTTGTGCCATTATAAATATTCTTCTCAGGTTGCCTTTTAAGTGTAATTGGTTTTTTAACATGCATATTGGCAAGTCTTTACTTGAGCACAACATGATGTAATACTGACAAGTCAAATCCCTTCTCTACTATTCTCTAAAATTTTCTTAGCAATTATTTATTTATTCTTCATTAAATTATTACATTTTTAATAATAATTTTCTAGACAAATCTGTTCCGGATATTTAAAATTTTTTTCTACACAGATTTTAATTTTTAATTTTTTTCTATACAGATTTTTAATTGGTTATTATAACATAAAGGAAACAAATTGTTTTTTGATATATATATATATATATATTGACTAGGTTAAAAAACCTATTTTACTTTACCAGATAAAATAACCTCAACATATTATATACAGGTAATTATAACCCTGAGGGCTTCCCAGGTGGCGCAGTCACAAAGACTCCGCCTGCTAACGCAGGAGACACAAGAGACCCGGATTTGATCCCTGGGTTGGTAAGATTCCCTGGAGAAGGAAATGGCAGTCCACTCCAGTATGATTCTCTTTTCATATATCTTTATGTTTCGGTCTTACTGCATTGGCTAGAGCTTCTATAACAATGTTAAATAATAAAGGATTTATCAATGTTTCTACTCTAAATTTGATTTCAAATGAAGTTCCTTTATGTTGCAGTTATGTATCATGCAGGCTTTAGGTCTGAGACAGACCCTTTACCCTAAAGGAATATCTGTCTGTTCTTCAGTTTACAAGGCACTGGTCCTGCATTTGAATTTCTGACAACAGATAGACAATTTTTATTTGACTCTAACTTCAAAACATAGATGACTACTCACACTGTGGACATAATTTGTTGGAAGGGTCCATTTAAGCTTCTACCATGTTGCAAAGTTCTCTAAAACTACCATTTCTCATGTTTAAAGATCAGATTTGCTCTGGGGAATGACAAGTCAAGAAAGGAAGGATAAAGAAAAGGCAATGAATAAAACAATTTTTTATTTTCTTTTTATCTTGATAGAATTTTCAAAATCTTCATCTGAGCTAGGGATAAAGGTTAGCCACTTACAAGGTAAGAATGGAAGACTGGTATAATGGAAAAGGTTAAATCTGTGGTTAATCCCCCTGCTTTGCTACCTGTCAATTATTACAGCTTTTTATTTACTTTCAGTTTCTTCATTTGTAAAACAAGGATAATACTATCTTACCCCACATCATCGTTTACAAGAATTAAAAGAAATAATGTATATAAAACATCTGCAGTGTCTGAGCAGCTTCAATATCCCAGTCCATCCTTCCTTATCCTCCTGCACCAATGAATGAGCAAATTTAAATGTCTGTTGTGTTACTCACATCTAAACGCAGGTTCAAAACCAGAAAAAATATACTGAATGAAAATATGCTTACATTTAGTTTTTCAAGAGGTTGTCCTAAAGAGTATATGACATAAGACTGAAGGTGATCTGTGTATTTTTGTTTGGCTTCTTTTTTTTCAGCTTCTAGACATGAGATTTTCAAACGAGAAAGTGTTGCAAAAATATGGTGGAAATTTTCCATCATGACGACATCCCTGGGGGTCTTCTGGCTTTCGTTTGCTACTTTCTCCACTAAAACAAAAATGGAATAAATGTGACGATGACCTGGTATGAATGTGACCACATTTAGCTATGGAAAAATTACATGATTTTTTTCATTTATAAGTTTAAGAAGTAAGCACATTTCTGGACTTAATCAAATAAAACATACAGTATTGAAGGATCTACCTAAACCTAAATAAAAAATCATTCTACAACAGTCATATATATATATATATGGTTAAATTTGGATTCCTATTTCACATCTTTTAGCCAAACAAATTCTAAATTGTTCCCAAACAAATTCTAAATTGTTCAAGTGCTTAAAATGTCAAAGGCAAATAAATGAATGCAATTGTAAGTACTAAGAAAAATAAACCTAATTAAAGAAATAATTCTGTGGTAGTATGAACTTTCTAAGAATGGCCCAAAACTTAGAAGTCATAGAGAGAGAGATGAATAAACTTAACATATAATTTGGAAGCTCTTACACAGTAAAACATACCATAAGCAAAACTGATGTATATCCTTCTAGGTTAACAAAGGATAACAAGACTGATAATACTGAGAAATACTGGGTCTCGAGGCAGATGTGACAGAAACTTTCACCAAACGCTCAAAGGACCAAACACGTATAATCTTTCTGTGTGGTTATTTGGCAGAAACTCAACAGACACAAAACTTCTGACCCAGTAATTATTTCTAATAATTGATCCTAAGGAAATGATTGGACAATATACAGAAATATACAGAAAACTGGAAACAAACCAAATGCCTGTTAACAGAAGATCTGCTAAGTAAGCAATGATAGATGGAATTCTATGTAATCACTAAAAGTGACTACGGTTATCTGTATCAGGAGACAAGGACAAACACTAGAGTCACAGAGTCTAGCAGGTTCCAAACAGGGTGCAAGGTGTGAAAAACATTTTAAATTACAGAACACACAATATGGGCATAGATGCCAGGGAGAGAGATATACTGAAACGTTCACACAGGTAAAAATTAAATGTTACCTTTGTATGATGAGATTACAAATTACCTTTACTTTCTTCTTGATTTTTAACATCAGTTTGCTGATTTTGGGGGGTATGTAATGAGCATATACTATTTTACAATCAGACAAAGCAAAGCTACTTTGAATTTTAAAAGAAGTATCAACCATGTAAACATTCAATCATATAATTTATCATCTTTCCCCTAAACCTGTTTCCACCAAAAATGCATTATCTATAACTGTTGAGATAATTCTACTTTTGTCATTTTTTTTAGTTTTAAAACTTCCTGAATTGATGCAGTCAGGTCATTTATTTCAAATTAAACACATCCACACTGTTTCTGTAACTTAACTGTGTGATCTGACATAGGAAGATGATGAATTACACTATTTTAGCATTAATTTGGGCTTCCCTGGTAGCTCAGCTGGTTAAGAATCGGCCTGTAATGCAGGAGACCAGATTCAATAACTGGCTCGGGAAGCTCCCCTGGGGAAGGGATCGGCTCCCACTCCAGGATTCTTGAGTTTCCCTGGTGGCTCAGACGGTAAAGAAACCACCTGCAATGTGGGAGGCCTGGGTTTGATCCCAGGGTTGGGAAGATCCCCTGGCTGATTGCATGGCAACCCGTGCCAGTATTCTTGCCTGGAGAATCCCATGGACAGAGGAGCCTGGTGGGCTACAGTCCATGGTGTTGCAAAGAGTCGGACATGACTGAGTGACTAAGCACGCACACATGCAGACATCACTGTTGATCAGCTCAAGAAGACTCTTGCTAAAATGCGAATGTAATCCACAAGGTCACTTTTGTGTTTAAAAAATGAATTTCAATTTTTCATACTGATAGCCCATATGAACCCTAAAATATAAGTAGTTCCTGGTAAATACAAAAGGGTTTTACATACTGTTTTTCAAATTTAAGAAATATTTTTTATTATTATTATTTTTAATATATATATATTTTTTTATTTACTTGTGCCAGGTCTTCATTGCTGCATGTGGGATCTAGTTCCCTGACCAGGGATTGAACCCAGGTTCTCTGCATTGGGAAGGTGGAGTCTTAGCCACTGGACCACCAGAGAAGTCCCAAATTTAAGAAATCTTTAATTTCAGAAAACTTAAAAAAGACTATAGACTATGGAAAATAATGAACACATCTGTCCCCAACTTCTAACTTAATCAGAAATAATGAAAACAACTGACCAAAAATACCAGAAATAAGGAAACCCACCACCAAAAACTTCTTCATAATGTAACAAAAGCTTACCATTAACAAATACTCCTCTGATAAGTTTAGTATATGCTTTATCTAGATCTCCACGACGCTCAGCATTTTTAAAGATTGATTCTGCGAGTCCAGCAAATTCTTCAAATTCAGCAACAAACGGGAGAATTCCTACTTTGCTCTTCTTTGAGATCTTTACTTCTTCCATTTGCCTTATCTGGTTACTCTAAAGTTAGACAGAAAGCAAGGGAGAAAAATAGCTAAGCAACTTAGAGACAACATACAATTAAAAGTAAATATATATACCACAAAGGCATGATGTTAATTTAATACCTAGAACATTTTGGACATTTACTAATCAAAGATTAATACAATATGGATAACTAAGAAAAACTATTTCTAGAGGTTAAAAAGTACATATATATTATTTAAGAAACTAAAATCAAGGAAAAAAATCCAAATTACTTAAAACAAAATGCATTCAAAGCTTGTGAACCTCAGGTCTTTGTTTAAAGTAAAAACAACCAATGAACACTTCTATCATTTATAAAAGGTAAGTATATAATGATTGCCCATTTTGCAGCAGAGCAGATACCAGAGCACACACAGGATCTCAAGATTATTTCTGGTTGGTGTCTATATAGTCAAGTTGAGAACCACAACCATTTCCAAATCTCATCAGCCTAAAATTTGTTTGGATAGAGAAGTTCTATGTTTTGGGGGTATGAGAACAGAGGAGAACAGATACTTCTACTGTGGATTTGCATTATATAGTTTTCCATGTACCTATTAGTCATTTACTCTAAATCAGTATAGCAAAGTACTTGTGTAAGATGGATACAAAGTAACAAATATACATATAGACAGAATATAGACACTTTGGTTCAAAATAATCAATTATGATTCTGTGTACTTCCAGGGGATCTAGTTCTATTCCCAGTAAGAAGTACATTGCCGAAGTGTTGCATCATTTTCAACTCCTACCTAAAATTTCATTGTGCTGAGATTCTGAGGGTATAACCTGAAAACCATATGACATGTAGAAATTAGAAAAGTAACTGTTCTTTTGTTCAATATGGTACTGGAAGTCCTAGACATAGCAATCAGACAGGAAAAATAAATAAAAGGAATCCAAATTGGACAAATAATTCTAAAACCTGTATAGAAACACAAAAGATCATAATAGCCAAAGCAGCTCAAGAAAGAAGAACAAAATCAGAGGTATTACGCTCCCTGATTTCAAACTATACTACAAAGTTATAGTCATCAAACAATATGGTACTGGTACAAAAACAGACATGTAGATTAACAGAACAGAGCACCCAGGAATAAACCCATCCTTATACAGTTAATCTATGACAAAGAAGGCAAGAATATACAATGAGGAAAAGACACCCAGACCATACCATTTTCAAAGGTAAAGGGTACAAAACCACATCACTGGAGTGTGAGGAATCCTGAAGAGCAAAGTAAATGCAGGTAAGAAATGTACTGAGTGCAGTGTCCAGGTTGGTAGTACTTGATATGTTTCTAATTTTATCCCTAGTTCTTGGTAGGCTAATCTTTTTAGCCCTGTTCCTTGAAGAACACTTTGGGCTTGGCCACCAGATGAAAGTACTAAACTCAGATGCCATCTATTCCACTTTCTGCAGTCATCTGACATTCATTCTTTGGCTCAATACACAGAGAACCATTCACTACTTTTTCAAGGCATGCTTTAGGTCCAGATCTTGTCCCAAGTACCAAAACATGTTACACTTACTGAGCGCACACAGAACTGACTGGACACTGTGAAAAGACTTGATTTAAATTAAGAAACAGATTGATGACAACCAACAGAAGGAACCATCCTTCTCCCTTTAGTGACAAAAGGTCCATCTTTTAGAAATACATGCAATTCAGGAAAAAAACATGACTTTATACCTTTGTCTAGGTTAATTTTACTAAATTTCTTCACTTCCCAGTTTTGAGAGTAATATGAACATTCTTCAGCAAACTATTACTAATTACTACTATTATTCCCTGGTGACTCAGATGGTAAAGCATCTGCCTACAATGTGGGAAATCTGGGTTTGATCCCTGGGTCGGGATGATCATCTGGAGAAGGAAATGGCAACCCAGTCCAGTACTCTTGCCTGGAAAATCCCATGGACGGAGGAGCATGGTAGGCTACAGTCCATGGGGTTGCAAAGAGTCGGACATGACTAAGCGACTTCACTTTCACTTTCATTACTGTCGTCATCATCATCACCATCACCATTACAAGCAATTAGTGACAAACTCTTATTCTGCACCAGGCAATGTGCTAAGCACTTCATTTGAACCCATGTCTACATCTCCCTGACACTATTATATCTTACACTTATAACAACTACATTCAACTGGATTGAGAGGTATTAAAGTTTTATATACTAGTTTTATTCACTGATAAGAGCAAGAAAATCTTCATATTCTAAAAACGTACAATGTTCTCATAGTTAATGTTCTAGCTATTATTATTCTATGTCACATGGGACTCATTATCTTAGACTTTAGTAATTCTTTCTTTTCTTTTGGCAATCAGCTTACAATCAGACCTTACAGGTTTATCATCACTTCTGAAGAAAGCTGGGCAGGGAAGAGGATAAGTGGCCAAATTCCATAATATTTCAAATGCCAGTGCAATCATTTGGTGGGGAAGGAGGGTTAAAAAGTCTGTTGAGGTGACATTTATGTTTCTATGGATGGCTTTTAAACTTTCAGAAATCAGTAAGTATTATTTTTAAAAAGTATAAAAGATGATGTGGATTTTAATTACCCTTAATATTTTTATTATTCTCTCATTATTCTATGGGCTTCCCTGGTGGCTCAGCCAGTAAAGAATCTGCCTGCAAAGCGAGAGACCTGGGTTTGATCCCTGGGTTGGGAAGATCCCCTGGAGGGAATGGCTACCCACTCCAGTATTCTTGCCTGGATAATTCCATGGATAGAGGAGTCTGGCAAGCTACAGACCATGGGGTCACACAGACTCAAACATGACTGAGCGACTTTCACTCATTCATTATTCTATGGCTATTCAAGCACTGGATTTAACTTAGAGGTTACATAGTAGAATAATTCAGATGATGAATATCTATTTTTACATATTAATACTAAATATATTAATAAAATGAAACTCTTTTTAGAACCTGGCCCAATCCTGTTCGTATCTATGAGCTTACCAAAACCTAACAGAAAAAATAAAGTTAATGATTTTTTCCCTATTAGAAGGAGAAAAAATTGATAACTGCCAAAAGTTGTCATGAGAACAATTTATTCTTAAAGCAATATGATTAAAGCTATTAAATTGAAAAAAATACTTTAATCAATTAAAATAATCCAAATATTAATTATCCTATTGTAATATTAAAAGAAGAAGAACAATAAATTCAAGTTTCAGTTGTTTCATTAAACTTATGGTCACTAATTGGTCAACTGGGATTTCAGTTACTTAGTGGGTTTCGAGTGTAATCGCTGCTGCCTCTGTGTCAGCTACTCCAGGAATGGCCATGATTCACAGTGTAGACGGGACACAACTTGGCATAGCACCATCCAACTAACCTGCTCCTGTATATTGCAGCCAATACCCTGCTGCAAGGCTTGGGGGATATGAACAGTAGATCCCCCTGTGGAAAGCCAGAAGTCTTTTAAACACACACACACACACATACTTTGCAATGGTTAAGAGTTCTAAGTTACTGAAAAAAAAATACCCAACTTACAATACATTTGTCAAAGTTCCTTTTGACAGTCACCAAAACATTTCCCAAAGTAGTACTCAGAAAAGAAGCGGGGTCCACGTTTTGTGCAGTCCACACATGATGACTCATTTTGACTAGCATGTAAAGGGAGTTAAAGCTATCGATTTTGTCTCCTAATGCAATCAAGTTGTTCAGTTCTGGCTCAATGCAGCGAAATATTTTAATCATCATTTGGCGGATCATATCTTTCCTGTTTAGAAATACAAAACAGAAAAGTTAGTACAAGCTTCAGGTGTATTCACCTTTAACTTTAATCCATTCTGTATACACAAATGACTAAAATTTGAAATATCAACTAACACTGTCCAAATAGTTAATTATTCCAGAACGGTTTCCAATATAAACATATTTTTTTGAGGTTGCACTTTTATCACTCAAAATAACGTCCTTTGTAGAACTGGGTCCTGAAATGTGCTTTGTGATTTCTGAGAAATACACCACAATTCAAATGCTACTTCCTACCAGCAAACATCAAAATTGACTGCATTTGTGTGACTACAAGAGCAAAGAAAAGCTGAAGAGCCATAAAGGGGACCAAGTTTACGTCACTGAGAAGTTCTGTAACACACCGGCACACAGATCGGTGCTCTGAGTGCTGTCAGCTATGGACAGTAATCTGGACTCCTCACTGGGCAACATTCCTTCCTGCTCAACTGAAAGTTTACTTTTTTTTCACAATAAACAACAGATAGTAACAAACACATACTCAGATGAAACAGGCAGCGGTGTGCCAGCATTATGTTGCCGTGACAACGTTCCTCCATCTGTGTCCTCTGCTTCAGTCTGCAAAAATTATTCAGGTACTTTACATAATAAAAGACTAACAAATTGACTAGTTTAGTTTATATAGCAATAGCCTGCTCAGTCTTAAAATTCTTAGGAGAGAATGTATGATGAGAAATAATAATTTTTAATCAATGAAATCATATAATTTAATATGTTGTTTCAGAATGTTCAGGAGAAGCTTTGTTTTCAGATTTTATCTCAGAATGAGAAGTTGTGTTTGCTTGTGAGCACATTTGGGGGGGTGGGGCGGGAGAGAAAGGTAGAGGAGACTCAGAGGGAGTGCAGGAACGAGGGGACAATTTAATAAAAAGCTGAAAATATCTAGGGACATGTTCAAGGGAGAATTTTGAAAATTAAAATCATTCTAATAAAACCTGAGCATAAAAAATGCTGTCAGAAGTTCTTACAGAAACTAACAAATTTACTAGCAATACCATCTACAAGAACAAATCCCCTAACCATCTGAAAGACTTAATTTCTCAGTCATTTGAGCACTGTTTTTATATGTTAGTTCTTTTAAAGATCATCTTAATTTTAAAAAAACCACTCGATTTGCATTGTGCTTTTAAGTTCTTTAAAATACTTTAGCAAATGTCTCATTTTATTTTCTTACATTTATGCCACCAGAGAGCGGTGTTCAACAGGCATTATTATACCCATTACACAGATGAGGAAAAATACGGACTAAATAATTAGCTTATGGTCTCATGGTAAGAAAGCCATAAGAAAGATTCTGATATGAGGCCTCACCATTTTTTTCTTTCTTGCTTTCATTTATTTTTTAAGACCATGGGGGCTTCCCTGGTGGCTCAGCAGTAAAGAAATCTCCCTGCCAATGCAGGAGCCACGGGTTCAATTCCTGGGTTGGGAAGATCCCCTGGTGAAGGAACTGGCAATCCACTCTAGTATTCTTGCCTCGGAAATCCCATGGATAGAGAAACCTGGTGGACTGCAGTCCATGGGGTCGCAAAGAGTCAGACATGACTTAGTGACTAAATAACAACAAATATACATTAAAACATCATTTTTTAATTTTTTATTTCTATTTACTTTTTCTTGATCACTAAAACAATAAATTTGCTTTTTAAAAATATTTTTTGCCAAGTAAACTCAGACATTTCCCCCACTCATCAATTTGGAGAATGTTTAGGCCTAAGATAGTCTAGGATATTAGATTAGATGCCCAAACCCTATCCTTTTTTTTTATTATCTTATATGATAAGAATTATTTTAAAAATCCTTACAATGTAAATTCTTTCTGTTCTGATATTGAAATTATGACAACATACTGATTAGGCTAATTATGATATAGATCATAAATATGAGCTAGTAAATAAATGTCACCCATACCACAGTTCCAGGCATACTCTGATGTTGCTGTAGTTTGAAAAATTTACTTATGAAGTCTTGTTCTGCCAGACACAGGGGCTCCAGTTCACTCAGTACCTGTTCAAAGATCTGAAGAAAACCAAAATGATTCTACAAAGAACTGAACAAAATGCTTAAAATAACATTCCACATTTAATCACTTTTCTGCAGCAATCAGGGAAGCTTTATCTATAATCTTAATAGAATCCCCCAAACAAATACTTCCAAGATTGACAGGACAATGCAGTATTAATGAGGCATAACAGGGTCAGAACATACCTAAAACAAAACTGACAACAATTATTCACTTGGAATCTGGAAAGAGGAACATAACAATAAAACTTTTTATTTAAACAATTTAGCTTCATAAAAGTTGCTTCCTTTTTGTAGTCACTCAAATAACTGGATTGACAATGCAAGCGCTTTATGATTTATAACAAATTTTAATAAAGCTGTTATGTCATTTAATTGATGAATCACATTTCAGTTGCCATTTGACCAGTATTTTTTTTTTTTTTCAGATTCAGAAATGGAAAGTAAGACATGGTTAATTAAAAGGGTCAATAGAGCCCAAATCTTTGAACACAATTAAAGCAATAACAAACTGGTGCTAGAAAACTGACAGTAATGTTTAAGAAACATGCATCATTTTATTTTACCTTATCAAATCTGGCTCTGTCGGCGACATCGAGATCAGAGGCCGACATGTTTCCCATGTCCAGCAAGGAAGATGACTGAGACCTGCGGTTCCCGGAGCTCTGAACACTGAGCTTATTTAGACTGGAAGTAGATCCGGTTAATTTCCCAGAACTCCCGTGAAGACCTGGGAAATGATAAACCTTTAAAAGCTGTGACCTTCACGAATAAAAGGTTCATGGCATAAATCAGGGCTCCCTTCTGCTGTCCTGCTGTTCTGAGGCTCATATGGGTTAGGGCACAACTCTGCCACATGAAGAGGATGTAGAGTGTCTTTCTCTTTCATTAAGATTTGTGTTCTACTTCTGAGCCTATGTAAAGATAGGTGAAATCATACAGAATCACAGAATAAGATTGAAAGGGATCTTAAAGATCACACTGTGCCCTGCCCAGTCTCATCACAGTTGTCTGATGATTTTTCTAAAGTAGATGAGGATTTCTTTTCCACTCAGAAGACATGACTATGGATGAAAGTCAATGACCCCCTAGAATACTAGCTAACATAATGATTGTATTTCTAGAAAAAAACTGCCATATTCCAATATTATTTGCCTCTACATTAAATCAACATATTAGGCTGAACCATATGAAACTACTAACACTCAATTATTCTTGTCCTACTAAAAATGTCAATTACACATGACTCAACTTAATACATTCCTGAACTCGAGACACTCTTGTTTTTTCAGCAAGTGAATTAATTAAAGTTCTTTTAAAAACTAAACAAAATGAAAAGGAAAAAAAACAAAAACAAAACCCTGAACACTTGCTGTATTTAAAATACAACCAACATAGCACATACATAGTTAACTATATTAATATGGGACATCTGAGTTTAGGTATAAACACAGGTATCTATCATAGCTATGAGGAAAAATGAGAACAATATGTCTGGACAATATCCTACATAAATCAAACTATTAAAGGATTCTATTTTTACAAGAAAATGTGATGTTTTTATTCAGAATTAAATTTAAACAGTAAAACATTTTTATTCTTCTTGACTATTTCTCAGCTAAACCTGTATTATTCGCTGATGGTCAGAAGGGACAAATAATAAGTGATAAAAAAAAGTATGATATACAGTTAGTTAGAGACAAACTGGTTTCATTATGCAAAATCTGACCATACGTACAAGAAATTTTATAGTTTCTAAACACAGCCTGAAAACAGAAGTATAATGGTTAAGGCTTTTTATAAATTTCTGACTACCCACCATACATGTTTAACCATACCACATATTTCTTGGATGTAGTCATACCACTTCCTTTCTGTTGGTTTTCTTTCTGGCCAAAACCTGGCAACCCAGAGCAATCAATATTTCTGGTGTAACTTTTTTCAAGATAAATAACTAGTTTCTAGACATTAAACAAACATGCATTGAGAATACCTACTAATACACTAAGCATACTCACTCTCTGTTTCCTGTTTGACAGCACTTTCTTTTCGAGGCAGTGTAGCTGTGATGGATTAGGTTGCAAGCATCAAAGACAAAGACAAGTTAATAAACTGCAATTTGCACAAACCATGCACAAGAGGAAGTTAAAGCTCTAGTTTAAAAGACACATGCAAAGAACCATGAGCATCAAGTAACGAGAGATGCAACATATGTTTAGTTGGTCAGCTACTGCTTGAGAAATTACATGACAGAAAAAACTTTACTAGTCTTTTAATGTACTATTTTATGCAAATATTCAGGTAAAAATATCTACATTTGTAAACCTCCCCCACACTTTTAAATGATGTTTTTAAGTCTCCTAAGCTGATGTACTTAAATTTAAAGACTATACTTCCAAGTTCTGATTTCTGAAGAAAACAGAGTTCAAGTAAATAATTTAATACAGTGAAAATTTTGTAGAATGAAGTTGCACATTTATACATTAAATGCATTAACAATCCTATATTCACTGAAAGCTCTTGGAAGGAATCTCCACTGTACTAAATAATTTTATACTCCCTCTGATAAAAAAATTATGAGTGGAGTTTTAAAACCATTTTAGAAATAATAAGCTAAACAGTTTAGTAACTTAGCTGGCTCTGTAAACACTGAGAATAAAACATATGTATCAAAATACTAATTAATGGGAGATGGGTAGGTAGAAGGGTAAAGCTGAGAGACAGGTCTAATGTGGGAATTGGAGCTCTTTCAGGGTCATTTGGTATTTCCTTTATCTAAAACCTCTCTTTAGTATTTGTTAGATTAATTGTAGAGATCATTTTGTGAAACATTCTAAACCCAAATGAGAATCTAATTTGAATGGCAAAGAAAGAAATTATAGAATAACACAGAAAATTAATGAATATAACTCTAGAACTATTTAAGAAATAGAAAACAAGGTGTCAACTCCTGCCAAACAGGGATAGTGATAGTTGCTATTGCTAGGCAAAAGCTCGAGTATAAACTACTAATTTGCCACACCAAAAACATGTAAATTTTCCCAGCCTTGTCTGCCTGAAGTTTAAAGGAATATGAAATGATAAGGCTGGACATTACAGCAACCAGGAGGGAGGGATGCACTGGAGCTACTAGCTTGTCAATCTGAACAGTACCTTCTGGCGGTCTTAAGGTGTCACTCTACTAAGTTCACCAGTTTCAGAGCAATGCCTAATTCTGCACATATTTTTCTTTTTTTACAGTAGTTAATAAATACTACTAGTGCCCTATTTGGGCTCATTAAAAAGTCTATATTATTTATCAGCAAGAAGTAACAATATTCCGGTAAATTTTAAATATCCTTAAACAATTCCTGCTAGAGTATAAGCATCAAGAGGGTAGGGTCTTTGCTCACTGCTGCATTCTCAGTATCGAGCAGCGATTATCATGTAATAGGTAATTAATAAACATTTACTGAAGGAATCTTCCACTCAGGACTGAATTTAGTCTTGTGTTCAAGACTCCCTTTGGAGTCAACAAGATTTCTTAATTTCAGTGGAGAAACGCTGAAAAAAATGTGTTTGGCGTATCATTTTTTAAGTTTTGGATTACTAAAGATAAAGAAAGTTATTATGTAAATGGACTCAACTAATAGTTGTGTGTCTTATCTTAGTAGTAAAAAGAAAAAAAATGCGCAATTTAAAAAATTATTACTAAATATCCTTTGCCTGTCTTTTCATTAAGTACATCTGAGGAATACAAAAGAAAAAACACTGAAGTATCAATCTTGGGAGGACAATTCCACACCTCTGAAAATATCAGGGTAAACCTTCTGACCTTAAAAAGGCAAAGATTTTATAAAAACCTTACCACAAAGAAAAAGTACTTTACTGGCATTTTAACATTAGATGTTGAAGACTTGAGTAAAGAATGGTTCAAAAAGAGAGAATTCCCCTGAATCTCTATGACTATACACAATTTCCTTTTGTAAAATACATTCAATCTGACTTTCTATTCTTTTTTTTTTTTACTGCCCGCCGCTGACTTTCTATTCTTATTAGTAGCTCGGATGCAGCATTTTTAGAGCAAGGAAAAAACAAAACAAATTTAAAATTTTATTCATAATTACTTAATTTTGATCCATTGAAAAGTTATCTTCCCCAAGTTTTAGGTTTCTCTTTTAACTGTAATTACTATTAAGAACTGATTTAAACATAATTTGAATCCTTGAAAAGGTATCTTTAAAAAGTTTACATTCTACCTATTTAGAACTTCTGAAGTCATTTGTATTTAACTTGAAATTTATTTTTAAATGTTGACCAACAAGCTACATTTTCAAAGATGAACAAAATAGTTTTTATCCTCTGAATTCTGTTTATTATTTAGTTTTTCTTTTCTTGTAACTGATAACATCAAAGTAACAGAAACTATAATTTTTTGGTTACTCTCCTATTTCTTACTACTTAATAGATACATACGAGAGATGTAATTTTAACCCTGTTTTAAAAGTATCTTCTAAACTTGTCTTAGGTTAATCAAAAATTTTTTAACAAGATAATTTAAGAACTTCAAGGAATAAGAAAAAAAATTAAGGTTTTAGGTTAATGCAATGATACCATTAAGATAGTATTGTACTTGATTTAAATTATATTCCAATTATGTCATTTATCTCAATGAGAATCTTAAGCTTGATAAATTAATATTATGATAGTGGCATTAATAACCTCCCAAGGAGGTAGTTTTAGAAAGATTTCCCTTTTACTGCAGTAACAAGTGATGACAAATATACTAAATGAAAACATTAAACATGTAACTGTATTAATATGTTGTTTACTAAAAAGAAAAACTGATTTAACATATCCATGGTGAAACATTAACAAAGATATAAACACACCGTTTAAGAACAAGTAACCTTTAGGATGAGTTAGCATTTCTGTTTCCAAAAGCCTATTGTCCCAATATTTTTATCAGTATCTTTACCAAAATGTAATACACAGATTCAAACCATTTAAAAAATCTGAACTAGTATCACCAATATATTAGTGTTGTATTAAAAAAAAAAAAAACAAACACAAACCAGTGAATCACAAAATAATTAATTACCCACTACTAAAGATAGTCTTCTTTGTCCTAAAGAAAAGAATGGAAAGATGAGCTATCAATTTCAATCAGGGCACAGGCTCCTTTCAACAAGCAAATGCTAAACTCATGGTTCTAAAGGGCAACTATGCAGACACAGAGGACACACTGTAGCCATTTAAGGCCAGGTTTTGACTCCAATAGGCACAGAACTCCATCCAAAAAGAAGTCCAGAGATGGGTACATGCAAGAGCAGAATGTGGCCTCGGCAAATCATTTCCTTGCAACTTGATACTTTCACTGGTTATCCTTTTAAATCAAGTTTTTTGTTTATTTAACATATTCAGAAGCAACAAAAACCCCTCTTGTTTCAAAAATAACTCTTTGGAAAAATAAAGTATAATTACAGGAGAAATTTTGGTGACATTTTTATAGCCCCTTCACAGGGGAGAAAACACTTAGCAACTTTCTTTTTGATTCAAAATAGCCAGTGACAAGTAAGAAGCCAGGAATCACTTCACTTCCCTGTGGAGTACAATGACTTAAGAGATCACAGACTTGCCTCCAACTGTTATAAAAGGTCTTTTAGGAAATCAGAAACTGAACTTCCAACATCTGTCTCTTAATCTAGTACTTTCTCTCCAGACTGCACTTCATTCTCTGGCCAACTGCTGCTTCTATGACTATACACAGTTGTCCCTGGTATCTGTGCAGGGTTGGTTCCAGCACCAGTCGTGGATACCAAAATCCATAGATGCTCAAGTCCCATGGTTGGTCCTCCATATTTATGGGTTCCGCGTCTGCAGATATGAGGTGCACTGTACTTTTATTAGACATGGCATGTATATACAATTGCTGCCAAGTTCACATACTGCAGAATTTTAATTAGTAAAAATAAGGATTTAGAGACACACTTGTTCCATGAAAAACTTATAAATCAAACCAATGCATTAGATTTATTCTTCTACTAATTCTATTGTATCTCCTTCCACCTTGCCTAAAAAGTCTTAAAATTATGTGTCACAAATAAAATAAGTTTTAATAGAAGAGAAAACAAGGGGACTGAGGTGCCTAAGCTTACCAAACTTCTTGCTTTCTTTAGTTGTGCCAGTCATCTTGATCTTTGCAACTTCAAAGAAATCTTTAATTTCTCTCTCATAGAGTCGTGATAAATAATCCATGTAATTCTTAAAAGTGAAAACAACACATACTCATTAATAAAACAAATATAACAATTTCCATTTCTCAATCCCCCCATATCCTTTGTGCTTGTTTTGAATTTTGTGGTCTTAAAAATATTTGATGCATTTCATAGGACACAAGAAGGCTATTTCCATCTTTTAAAAAAACTGAACTGGCATCATAATATTAACAATTTGTAAAAATATGAAGTTGAATAATCACACTCACATTTTCACTTTTATACATTCAGTTCAGTTCAGTTGCTCAGTCATGTACGACTCTTTGCAACCCCATGGACTGCAGCACGCCAGCCTTCCCTGTCCATCACCAACTCCCGAAGCCTGCTCAAACTCATGTCCATTGAGTCGGTGATGCCATCCACTCATCTCATCTTCTGTTGTCCCCTTCTCCTCTAGTCTTCAATCTTTCCCAGCATCAGGGTCTTTTCAAATGAGTCACTTCTACGCATCAGGTGGCCAAAGTATTGGAGTTTCAGTTTCAGTATCAGTCGTTTCAATGAATATTCAGGACTGATCTCCTTTAGGATGGACTGGTTGTATCTCCTTGCTGTACGAGGGACTCTCAAGAGTCTTCTCCAACACCACAGTTCAAAAGCAGCAATTCTTCGATGCTCAGCTTTCTTTACAGTCCAACTCTCATACCAACTCTCATATGTATGAGTCCAATACTCATACATAACTACTGGAAAAGCCATAGCCTTGACTAAATGGACATTTGTTGGCAAAGTAATGTCTCAGTTTTTTAATATGCTGTCTAGGTTGGTCATAGCTTTTCTCCCAAGGAGCAAGCCTCTTTTAATTTCATGGCTGCAATCACCACCTGCAGTGATTTTGGAGCCCCCAAAAATAAAGTCTCTCACTGTTTCCACTGTCTCCCCATCTATTTGCCACGAAGTGATGGGACTGGATGCCATGATCTTCATTTTCTGAATGTTGAGTTTTAAGCCAACTTTTTCACTCTCCTCTTTCACTTTCATCAAGAGGCTCTTTAGTTCTTCACTTTCTGCCATAAGGGTGGTGTCATCTGCTTATCTGAGGTTTTTGATATTTCTCCTGGCAATCCTGATTCCAGTTTGTGCTTCATGCAGCCCAGCATTTCAAACAATGTACTCTGCATATAAGTTAAATAAGCAGGGTGACAGTATACAACCTTGACGTACTCCTTTCCCGATTTGGAACCAGTCTGTTGTTCCATGTTCAGTTCTAACTGTTGCTTCCTGACCTGCATACAGATTTCTCAAGAGGCAAATAAGGTGGTCTGCTATTCCTATCTCTTGAAGAATTTTTCACAGTTTGTGGTAATCCACACAGTCAAAGGCTTTGGCATAGTCAATAAAGCAGCAGTAGATGTTTTTCTGGAACTCTCTTGCTTTTTCAATGATCCAATGGTAATTTACACATTACCTTTCATGTATTTTAAACAAAGCTGCATTCATACTATACTGGGTGTTTGGGTCAGCACAATCACGCTTTTCCAGTGTCATATGCTAATGACTGCACAGTATTATGCTCTGCTGATGTTCACAATTTAGTAAACCAACATCCTAACACAGACTACATAAGTGGTTTCGATGTTTTGCTGTGATAGACAATGTTACAATAAGCTTTTCATCTCTAATGAACTGCTTCCTTGGAATAATTTCCTAAGGGTAAAATTACAATGCTAAAGAATAAGGTAATCTTTTAACTCTTCTTCCATAAAGACATGCTGTTTCAAAAATTATTATACCAATAGGCAGGATCAATGACATTGAAGCAGGACACTGAGTTTTATCATACCTTGCCAGCATGGGGTATTAAATTAGCCCAAAATAGGTTACTCTCATAAGAATTTAATTACTACATCTTACAGTTTTCATAATCAAATAATTTATTTTTAAAAAACAAAATTTATTCTAGTTCAAACGAAAACATCTATTATTTAACATGCAAACTCATTCCCTCATCATCTATGCTTACTATCATACAAAAATATTTTATACCCTTACGAAAGAGTCAACAGTGGGAGACCATGTATTTTTCCAAATCCTGTGTTAAATGTCTTATGTAGAGTTTCACTAAATTTAAATAAATCCACAGCAGAAAAACTCCTATGCCTAGTTATTCTTTTAAATTTATCATGAAATCTACACTTCAATTTCAAACGCATCCAGTTTTAGAACAGTTTACTTTGCTTTAAACATCAGATGTAACTTTCAAAGGTACATCATTTAAATTATTTGTATACTGACTCATAGTTCATTATTGATTTTTAAGTTATTTTATAAATATATATAAATATATTAGATATATTTATATCTATTTAGATATTCTATAGTTATGTCCTTATAAAAAATTTTTGGATGAAACATACTATAGAGCCTTCTTTTTTCCAATTTGTATGCCACATACATTTCCCACAGATTCTCCGTAAGGAAAGTTAAATAGGAAAATTTTCCCTGTGATCTTTGTGTGTAACTTTAAAAGCAAATCTAAAGCTAAACAGACACTAAAATTATTCCTATTTCATTGAGCTATTTCACTTTTCAGAATCTCATTCTTTGAATTTTAAATTATCACAAAAACACTGATCACTGGAAATCAATGTAAATGACTGACCAACTTATAATTCATAAAATCTTCATTAGATTTCTACTCAACTCACTCAATATAACAGACTGCATTCCAATACCCAAATTAAGTGCCCACTACTACCCAAGCAATTTAAAGTCTCAAAACAGCTATTTTGCTATTTTTAAAACAGTGATTTGAGCAGACTACCGAAAATCACCTTCTTTTTCAATACAATTCAAATGACTGAACACCTTCCCCCAGGTTCTCAACAGAACCCATGGGTGGGAAAGCCCACAGACAGGCGTGCCTCCCAGTTCATTCACTTACTGAGTTCAGAGAGAAGCTTCTCACTGGGAGTCTTTTCCTCAGCACCCTGTATACAGCACCTAACTTAAAATCCAACTATCTTGAGCTTAAATACTGTTATCTCAGGCAGTATTTCCAACTTTATTTTGTGCTCACTTTGGAGTCTTACAGATAACACCATGTTTTATTTTCTATATTTACAAATATAGGACTGAGGCTGAGAGATGATCAGAGTCTTAAAGACTATCAGCCTCAAGGGGCTATTAGGAGAGGAAAGATTGTTCCTACCCAAACAAGGATAGACCATCTCCCTGCTCAACTGCTCTACATGCATAACGCAGAGCCCCAGCTAGGCAGAAGGGCTTCTGGGCAGCCGAGCTTATTACATGCCCAACGCACCTCTATTTTCCTTAGGCTCTAATTACATACACCCCAAATCAGGGGTTTGGTTAGATTCAGCCACAAGTAGAGTTGGGGCAGGGCCTAGTTATTCTTTTCCCTAAAGAAATGAAGACAAGCTTTTCCTGGTCCTGCCAAAAAGTGTGAGCTGGGTACAAATAACCAAGTACAAAGGTGAGTGCTAAGTCACTTCAATCAGGTTCAACTCTTTGCAACCCTATGGACTATAGCTCACCAGGCTCCTCTATCCATGGAATTCTCCAGGCAAGAATACTGGAGTGGGTTGCCATTTCCTTCTCCAGGGGATCTTCCTGAACCAGAGACTGAAGCTGAATCTCCTATGTCCCCTGCATTGGCAGGCGGGTTCTTTACCACTAGCACACACTACCTGGGAAGTGTGAAGTACAAATAGTATCTGGATTTAATTATTATTTCTTACCAAAGAAACACTGATTTGTCAGGTTCCTTTTTTCATTTCTTTCTTTCCATTTCCTTTCATTCCTTTCTTTGTCATATTAATAAGATTCCTATTTTTGAAAACACTTGAGCATCAAATTAGATTATCAGGCATAAAACTGCATGGTCTGTCACAAGTTCAAACACAAGATAAAGTAAGATTCTTTGGAAATAAGATAATTTCATTTAAAAAAGCACATCAATATTGTCAATTGAAAATATACCATGAGCAGAGAATGATTCCATACTTCAGCACTAGACTGGCTACTGTCTTGCTTCTTCACTTTAAATTACATTCATGAAGCTACATATATATAAAGATATGGCAATACTACTCACTGAGAACACAATCAGGCAAAAAGCTTATTGATTATTTTACTCATTTGAATATTCACTAGGGGACAAAGCACTTGTTGGCACAAAACTCTTAAGATGTAACAATATTTAATCATTCAAAATACAGTATTAATCCTCTTAAAACTTCAGAAGGCAAAGATTCCAGTCATGCAAATATTCTTCTGTAAGCTATCTCCAAACCAGAATTCTGCTGACTCAAAACAAATCAGAATACAACACAATAGTGGAGTCCTGAACCCATGGGTTCCTGCTACAATGGCCGTTTACTAAATGAGTAAGAGCATGTCATTCTGCTACTCAAAGCCCATCAACACCCCTCCCTCATCTCTCTGCAAGTAAAAACCAAATTCTCAATAACGGTGCGCAGTCCCTTCCAGATCTGCCCTGCCCTGCCCCCCCCCACCGCCCCCCCGCACCTCTCATGCCCGCCCTCCCATCCGGAACCTGACTCGCTGTGCTCCCACCACCATGGCCTGGTTGCTCCTCCAGTGCTCCAAGTTGCTCTTGCCTTGGGGCACTTGTGCTGTGCTGGGAAAGCTTCCCTCGGAAATTCCCACTGCGCACCCCTGCTTATCTTTAAAATTTGTGCTCAAATGTTGCCTTCTCTGACCATCCTTTTTGAAACCGCAACCTTTCTGATGTCCTAGCATTCCCTGCTTTATTTTCTCTAGAGCTCTCAGCAGTACCTTCCAGCAGACTACGAAATTGACTTTTATGTTGGTCCTTCTTCACTGGAATATGTACTCTGAACAGGCAAGTATTCGCCTGTCTCCTTCAGCGCTGTTACCTTTCGTGCATACAACAGTGTCAGCACACAGCAGATGCTCAACGCGTTTGCTAAGTGAACGTGTGAATGGCTCTTTCTTGTCCGGCTGTGGCCACCTGTGTGTGTGTGTGCTCAGTCCCCAGTCGTGTCCCACCCTCTGTGACCCCATGGACTGTGGCCACCAGGCTCCTCTCTCCACGGGATTCTCCAGGCAATAGTACTGCAGTCGGTTGCCATTTCCTTCTCCCGCGGATCTTTCCAACCCAGGGATCAAACCTGCATCTCCTACATTGACAGGTGGATTTCTTTTAATCATGTGCCACCTGGGAAGCCCAAGTGGTATTTATCACTGTTTTAATCTCTACGTCTCACAAGTCTGGCACCATCCTGTCCCTTGTTTTTGGATTCTCTCTTGTGATTTATAATCTCTATTCCTACTATCATCTTCTTCGTTCAAGATTTCATTTCAGTTCAGTATTGTATTAGGTTCTTAATTAGATTCCCCTATCAAGTCTCTTCCTATGTGTGAAGAATGCTGTTAGGACTCACGATTCAGATTTTTTAACCTATCTTCTCACTCTTCTAGAATATGGAATTTCAGCTTCAGTCAGGCTGGCCTTCTTAAAGTCCTGGGAAAAGAGTCAAGTCCAATGTTTTCTATGAAGTTTTCTCCTGTGGCTACAGGTCATGAATTTCCTTTCTCTAACATGCTATACATTTAAACTCATATCCAGTTCAGCACTTAACTCTGGCCAGCTGTTTTAAGGATAATTGCTCTTCCCGGGCAGACTTGACGCTCTCTGGAAGTAGGAGCATGTGTGGGAGCCACTTCTTATTCTTACATATGGATTAGTGAGTACAAAAGAGGCACACAGTGAAAATCTGGTGAGTGACAAAGAGATGTACCATAATATGATAATCCAATTTTTCCAGCTAGTGTGTCCCACAATCAGGAACAGAAATACCCATGTTTCTGTGTGCCTGGAACAGTGGAATGGTTGCTTAATAAAGAGGCACACTGCATGTGCTTAAAAGAACAGATTACAGATTCTTATAAAGCAAATGCCTCATTGAAAATATAACTTCATACTCTCTAGTTTTTATATTGCACATAAAGCAACTCAGGAAATAATTATTTAACTAAACTAAATGATGCTTCAAGCTGCAGTATGGCCTAATACTATATTGAAGTTCAAAATTTAGCTATTCTCCATCTAAGTAAAGAAAATAAATGTTCTCCAGACTTTTAGATTCTGTGGGAGAAGGCGAGGGTGGGATGTTCAGAGAGAACAGCATTGAAACAAGTATACTATCAAGGGTGAAACAGATCACCAGCCCAGGCTGGATGCATGAGACGGGTGCTCAGGGCTGGTGCACTGGGAAGACCCAGAGGGATGGGATGGAGAGGGAGGCGGGAGGGGGGATCGGGATGGGGAGCACATGTAAATCCATGGCTGATTCATGTCAATGTATGGCAAAAACCACTACAATACTGTAAAGTAATTAGCCTCCAATGAATAAAAATAAATGGAAAAAAGAAAAGAAAAAAAATGTTCTCCTTAGCTAATGAGCACTAAGAAATCAACTACTTGCTGCTTTTTTAAGAATATACAACAGTGCTTCAAATGTCAGTTGCGGAACTGAACACATGACCTCTCGATTCTAAAAGATAATGCTCTATATTCAGTGAGTAACTGACGTCAAATCCATACCTTTGTTAGTCCCTCATATTTTTGATAATCGGTACTCTTTAGCCACTCCATCAGCTTGGCATATCGGAGTAAGTCTCTATGAAATGGATGATGATTAGGTAAAGTCAGTTCAATAGAGTGCTGAGCAAGAGTTGAACTCTGATCATGACCCTAGAATGAATAAATAAGTACATAAATATCACTGACAGTATAAAGAAACATTGTTGTAACTAAATATCCTTAATAATGATCAAGCATGGCCAAGCAAAAACAACAGAACATAGAAATGTAAGAACTGAGTACTTACTTGTCTTTTTTTTATCATCCTGTGTATACAAACTGAACACCACCACCATAAAATAGTCATAAACACACAAGAATGACTCTCTGATAAATCGACTCATTTTATCTTTTAGAGTAGTTGAGAATGAATGCTTTAATCAACTTTACCTCTCCCATAACATTTTACAATTGACTAAGCAAATAAATATCATGATATAAACTAAGAAACACACACCAAACAGGGGAAGTCATTCAAAACAAACTGTCTACATCTATGATATTTCCATTAGAGTCTACGATATTTAAACAGCAGGTGAAAATGCACAGGACACAGAATTTCAGAACGAGGAAGGACTACAGATGACTGCTTGCTGGGCTTTCCTGGACAGTGCTCAGTGCTCAGCTGCTGGGTCATGTCCTATTCTTTGCTAACCCTATAGACTGTCTGTAGCCTACCGGGCTCCTCTGTCCATGGGATTTCCCAGCAAGAGTACTGTGTAGGTTGCCATTTCCTCCTCCAGGGGATCTTCCCCACCCAGGGACTGAACCTATGTCTTCTGCACTGCAGGTGGATTCTTTACCACTGAGCCACCTGGGAAGCCCTTTCCAGGATAACCCCTAACAATAATGTAATTTTAATTTTTCCATTAATTTTCTACAGAAGCAACTATATAATTTAGTTTTCAATCCTTGACATGACTTATATAAATTAGTAGGTTTTCAATCAGCCTGAGACAGATGATGCATCCTGACTTTTGTTTTAGAGTATATGGATCCAGTAGATCAGTTGATCCAACAGAACAAACTGAAATTCAAAGGGTTAAGTGATTTACACAGGTCACACAGGAGGAAGGCTAGAATCTGAACCTTAGTCATGTGAGTCTCGCTTCTGTTTTCTTTTAAAAACATGCCAAACAAAATCATTTTAACCAGACTCAAAAACTGCTGAAGGTCATTACAAACATTACATTTCAGAAATGTTTACCACATCAGAAGGATGACTGAGATTCCACTGAATCACAGATATTAGATACTGTACACAGATAGAGATTAGTTTTAAGTCTGCTAATGTCTCCAAATTGTGTCTTAATTAATTTACATTAACTAAAAGGAAGAAGTATTTGACAAACTTGTTATTGCTAATAAATGTTTTTCAAATATTTTGCCCTTATTAATAATAATATTAGATATATTTCCATTATCCTTCCTCATTAATTTTTTCAATAATTCAAGACTCAAAATCATGGTTTATGTTCTTCTATAGCTGTTTACTCAGGTCACTGCATGTTAAGTTATATTATTTAATTTAATGTCAGGAAAGCTCTTCAATTAAAAGCCTTCATCTCTCCTGCAAAATGGAAGAACCAACATTTATAGAGAATTTTACCGTTTACAAAGCTCTTCTACATATATTACTATTCAAAACTTCCTACTGTAAGTAGCATTTTCAGATCACCATCATGTGAAAATTCACTGATATAAAAACATTATTACCTTCAGACTATTAAGATATATTAAATATTGTTAGTGTTAACAGAAAGATTTTAAGAGAAACTGGTTTCAAAATATATAGGAAGGAGGAAAATCAAATACTTAAACTGCTTAATTCAATCAATAATATAGATAACTATCATACCTAGAATTCAATTGTGCCAAGAATTTTACTCTTTATATACTTTAAAAATTAAGACACTGTTTAAAGTTTCTTATTATAGATACATAAATTAGTAATGATAACTGAAAACCTTTTGAAAAGGACTGGCCATTCTAGATGCCTTTAAGAACACCATGATTCAGGAGAAGAGGTCAAAATATCAACATTAACAGGAGTTTTGGAAGAAGCTGATTTCAACCCTCATGAATGACTTTGAGGGGTGTAAGACTTCAGTACAGGAAGTAACTATAGATGTGGCAGAAAGCAGAACTAGAATTAGAAGTGGAGTCTAAAGATGTGACTGAACTGTTATAGTCTCATTTAACAGATATATAATGGATGAGAAGTTGTTTCTTATGGATGAACAAAGAAACTGGTCTCCTGAAAGAGAATCTACTGGTGAAGATGCTGTGAAGGCTACTGAAATGAAAACAAAGGATTTAGACTCTAATTAATACATAAACTTAGTTGATAAAGCAAGTGGCAGGATTTGGGAAGACTGACTCCAATTTTGAAAGAAGTTCTACTGTGGGTAAAATGCTATCAAACAGCATTGCACGCTACAGAGAAATTGTCTGAGAATGGAAAAGTTGATCATCACAGCAACCTTCACTCTGGTCTTATTTTAAAAAACTGCCATAGCTACCCCAATCTTCAGCAATCACTGCCTTGGTCCCCCAGCACCTTCAACATTGAGGAAAGACCCTCCACCAGCAAAAAGATGATGACTCAGATGGTAGGCTCAGATGGCGGTTAGCAATTTTTAGTAATGAAGTATTTTTAAAATCAATGTGTACATTCTCCTGTTAGACATAATGCTATTGCACACAATAGGCTACAATACTGTATAAACATAGCTTTTTTATGCACTGGGAAACCAAAAAATTTGTGTGACTTGCTTTACTGACACACTCACTTTATTGTGGTGTCTCTAAGGTAGCCCGTATACACTCCTGTAGAGTTGTAAGTACATTACTTTTATCACATCCTCACAAGCATCTCGAGGGTAGGAGCCATTTCTTACTCTTACATATGGAGGACAGTGAGTACTGTCACACAATGTAACACACAAATCAGACACACAATCAAAATTTGATGATGAACAAAGACATGTAACCCAATGCGCTAATCAAATCTTCCCACTGTGTCCCACAACCAGGAACAGAAATCCCCTTGTTTCCCAACTCTTTGCTAGGGGACACGAAGTATTAAATTTAACACACAGAAAATCTCTTTTCTGTACTTAGGACACTGTCTTTCATCTTCTTCAGCACATTCCAGGTTGTTGCAACATTCTGGTTTTTAACATGCATTACTCACATGTAACAACGCATATTAGATTTTCAGAACTGGGATGCATTCATTTTAAACAAAGCCATTAGTTTATAAGGCAAGGAAGCAAAATCACAAATAATAGCATGTTATAACAAACAATTAAGGGCGGAGAAAGGATTATCATTTACTGACTGGTATTTTCTGTACCATCTACAAATGTGACTACACCCTGCCAACAGGATTATTTTTAAAAAACTAGAGAACTGTGTAAAAATAGATATTATTGAAATAATAGTGTAAGAAAAATGTGCATTAGTATTTCCTATGTGATTCCGAGGTTTACTTTTTTCCTGAAGCTTTTCAAGTCAAGTGGAATGTTAAGAGTCTTCCCGTTTCCCCCTTGCACGCTTAGTTAGCTGGTCTTCCTTTACTCCCATGGTACCACAATAACATATACCCTCCCTCAGTCTATCTGTCTCCCTTCTCTAGATTGTGAGCAACTAGAGGAAAGAATCAGCCTCTCATCTATTCCAATGAAGTGTCTGGAATGCATCTTTAATCACTTGGCAAATGACTTCCAAATAAAGGAGTGAGTGAGTGAATGAAAGAATGACAGAAAGAAAGGCAAGCAGAATGAGATTAAATGCCTTTTGGATCTAAATAAACTTTCTGTTATGGGACATTAAAAAAACTGCTACAAATATGGTTAACAGGTAGCTCAAATCAGTAAACTATAACTATAAAGATTCTGCTGCTATTAAGCTTAGTAAACTTTACAGGGGAAAAAAAAAAGAATCAGAGAAGCTGGAGCCAAAGTTGATGTACTCACAGGCACGGAAAGAAAGTAGGACCTGTTATAGAGTTGAAGGAGGGCCTGAGTAAACTAATCAGAAATAAAATAGAGTAAATACAATTGTTTCAGAATACTACAAAGTGAAAACAAAATAAGAACCTAGAATATCAGTCAGCATTTCTTGATGAACAAAATTTCACTCAACTTTTTTTTTGGCCCCAAATCCCTATTAAAGAGATGATAAATACACAAAATCTAATTTATGACACCTAATTTATTCAAGAAATATTAAGTCTAATTTATTATTTATTAAATAAAACACCTTCTAGTCAAGCCCCTCTAAGGTATACTTAATAGTAACATTTATATCATTGCCACAACCTTAATGATAACACCCTTTCCACATAAAAATAGAGACAAAGGTTTTCTATAAGATTAAATCAACTAGAATTTACAATTGAGTTAGTCATTTTTCTCATATTTATAAGTATATGGAGCCAATGAAACACTGAAAACATGGAATCAAGTCCCTGTTCTTACTTGAAAATATTGAAAAATAAAACAGGCCAAACATTAAACACGTAACAAGTTTGGACTTATTTTTATAAACAAGATTGTCTAAATGGGGTATATGTAATATGCAAGCATAATTATTTAAAACTTAGGGAATTTTGGCTAAAAGGAACTGTCTTCATAGGAGACCGCTGAGGCCCCAAAAACATCTATGAGCAAATACTCACATATCTAAAAATATTAAAATCAAATAAATATATAAAGGAACATATTGTGCTCCCAATTAAATACATTAAAATTTTTTTCTGGGACAATTTCATTTCAAGAACATGACAGTATTATAATAAAATAAAATTACCTGTTGAACAAAAACATTGTTGAGGTGACTGGCCAGTCTCCGGGCAAAATTCTCTCGCAAATTACTGAAACGCTGCTGCTGCTGCTCAACTGCCAGAAGCATGTCATGGCCTGAAATCGTGACAGCTTATTTAACGTGTTAAAGAGCTCCCGGATGTCTAATGAGTGCATTTATAACAGAAGCCGTATTTCAGTTCTGAAGAACTCAAACTTTTACTGGTTTATTCGTGTGTTTATAAAAGAAAGGTAAGGGGGAAAAACAGTATAACTCAGCGATCCTCATGCTGTGGTCTTGCCTCAGCATCACCTGGCAGCGGTCAGAAGCATGGATTCTAAGGCCTCAGAGCAGACCTACTGCTTCTGTGGTGGCCCTGAGCAGTGATCCCGATGCAAGCTTAAGTTTAGGAACCGCTGGTCTAGCAAAGCCTTATGGCATCTACTTTGTGCTAGGTCCTGTGAACAGCACTGAAGAAAAATCCTGGTGTTAACGGAGAGTCACTGATGGTCAATCAGAAGGTACTGAAATGAAGTTCTTCATGCCAATATAAATTATGTTTGATAGTAAGTGAAACTTGTTTCAATAGCTAATAATCTAACCCTAAACCACCTGCCTCATGGACTTCTTGTCAAAAGCTTTACACTAAGTCAGAAGCTTAGTCCCAAGTTCTTGGGCAGATTTTATGGTCATACCTGGTCGAAGAGCTACATTCATGCACTGCAGCAGGGCATCTGCAGCATTGGTGCAGGCCTCAATGCCCCTGGAAGAAGAAAGATCTCCTTCCTGAAGTGCCTTTATATGACCTTTGGCCAGGTCCATGTGGTTCTGGAATGTAAATAAACACACCATTTGTCTGTGTACTCTTAGGAAGTTTACAGGTAAGATGCTACGCAATCCTATTACCATGTGTTTGAAACTTCAGTATTTTTAAATCTTGCTCTCCTAAGGAAATTAGAAAATATTGGCAAATGGACTTTAGAGATCATTAGTTTTTTTTTTTTTTATTGTTGTTAGTAGTTTATAACCATGCTTACCACAAGGAACTCTATCTCAGACAGAAGTTTTACGTTATTAGTGTTACTGAGATGAATGAGGTGGTTGCTTTCGGAGATCTGATCCATCTGTTCTTTTACACTTTGGAGCATTTCCTCATAACTGCTCAGTTTCAATTCAATCTGATCCACCTCCTTGAGAGCCTCATCCAGTAACTTCATTAGGATGTTGACTTGCTTTTCAGAGGCCATGATAGACTGGATGTTGGCCTACACAGTTAAAAAGAGAAGTAATTGTAAGGCAAAACACTAACGAGTATGAAAGAGGAAATTAATAGTAACACAATAATAGTAGGAGACTTCAATACCCCACTCACAACTATGGATAGATCAACTAAACAGAAAATGAACAAGGAAACACAAACTTTAAAGGACACAATGGACCAGCTAGACCTTATTGACATCTATAGGACGTTTCACCCCAAAACAATCAACTTCACCTTTTTCTCAAGTGCACACGGAACCTTCTCCAGAATAGATCACATCCTGGGCCATAAATCTAGTCTTGGTAAATTCAAAAAAATTGAAATCATTCCAGTCAACTTTTCTGACCACAGTGCAGTAAAATTAGATCTCAGTTACAGGAAAAAAATTATTAAAAATTCAAACATATGGAGGCTAAACAACACGCTTCTGAATAACCAACAAATCATAGAAGAAATAAAAAAAGAAATCAAAATATGCATAGAAGTGAATGAAAATGAAAACACAACAACCCAAAACCTATGGGACACTGTAAAAGCAGTGCTAAGATTCATAGCATTACAGGCCTACCTCAAGAAACAAGAAAAAAGTCAAATAAATAACCTAACTCTACACCTAAAGCAACTAGAGAAGGAAGAAATGAAGAACCCCAGGGTTAGCAGAAGGAAAGAAATCTTAAAAATTAGGGCAGAAATAAATGCAAAAGAAACAACAGAGACCATAGCAAAAATCAACAAAGCTAAAAGCTGGTTTTTTGAAAAAATTAACAAAATTGACAAACCATTAGCAAGACTCATTAAGAAACAAAGGGAGAAGAACCAAATCAACAAAATTAGAAACGAAAATGGAGAGATCACAACAGATAACACTGAAATACAAAGGATCATAAGAGACTACTACCAGCAGCTCTATGCCAATAAAATGGACAACTTGGAAGAAATGGACAAGTTCTTAGAGAAGTATAACTTTCCAAAACTGAACCAGGAAGAAATAGAAGATCTTAACAAACCCAGCACAAGCAAGGAAATCGAAACTGTAATCAGAAATCTTCCAGCAAACAAAAGCCCAGGACCAGATGGCTTCACAGCTGAATTCTACCAAAAATTTAGAGAAGAGCTAACACCTATCTTACTCAAACTCTTCCAGAATATTGCAGAAGAAGGTAAACTTCCAAACTCATTCTATGAGGCCACCATCACCCTAATTCCAAAACCAGATAAAGATGCCACAAAAAAAGAGAACTACAGGCCAATATCACTGATGAACATAGATGCAAAAATCCTTAGCAAAATTCTAGCAAACAGAATCTAACAACATATTAAAAAAATCATACACCATGACCAAGTGGGCTTTATCCCAGGAATGCAAGGATTCTTTAATATCCGCAAATCAATCAATGTAATACACCACATTAACAAACTGAAAGATAAAAACCATCTGATTATCTCAATAGATGCAGAAAAAGCCTTTGACAAAATTCAACATCCATTTATGATTAAAACTCTCCAGAAAGCAGGAATAGAAGGAACATACCTCAACATAATAAAAGCTATATATGACAAACCCACAGGAAGTATCACCCTCAATGGTGAAAAATTGAAAGCATTTCCCCTGAAATCAGGAACAAGACAAGGGTGCCCACTCTCACCACTACTATTCAACATAGTTTTGGAAGTGTTGGCCACAGCAATCAGGGCAGAAAAAGAAGTAAAAGGAATCCAGATAGGAAAAGAAGAAGTGAAACTCTCTCTGTTTGCAGATGACATGATCCTCTACATAGAAAACCCTAAAGACTCTACCAGAAAATTACTAGAGCTAAACAACAAATACAGTAAAGTTGCAGGATATAAAATTAACACACAGAAATCTCTTGCATTCCTATACACTAACAATGAGAAAACAGAAAGAGAAATTAAGGAAACAATACCATTCACCATTGCAACAAAAGAATAAAATACTTAGGAGTATATCTACCTAAAGAAACAAAAGACCTATACATAGAAAACTATAAAACACTGATGAAAGAAATCAAAGAGGACACAAACAGATGGAGAAATATACCGTGTTCATGGATTGGAAGAATCAATATTGTCAAAATGGCTATACTACCCAAAGCAATCTATAGATTCAATGCAATCCCTATCAAACTACCAACGGTATTTTTCACAGAACTAGAACAAATAATTTCACAATTTGTATGGAAATACAAAAAACCTCGAATAGCCAAAGTAATCTTGAGAAAGAAGAATGGAACTGGAGGAATCAACCTGCCTGACTTCAGACTATACTACAAAGCCACAGTCATCAAGACAGTATGGTACTGGCACAAAGACAGAAATATAGATCAATGGACCAGAATAGAAAGTCCAGAGATAAATCCACGAACCTATGGTCACCTTATCTTTGACAAAGGAGGCAAAGATATACAATGGAAAAAAGACAACCTGTTTAACAAGTGGTGCTGGGAAAACTGGTCAACCACCTGTAAAAGAATGAAACTAGAACACTTTCTAACACCATACACAAAAATAAACTCAAAATGGATTAAAGATCTAAATGTAAGACCAGAAACTATAAAACTCCTAGAGGAGAACATAGGCAAACCACTCTCTGACATAAATCACAGCAGGATCCTCTATGACCCACATCCCAGAATTTTAGAAACAAAAGCAAAAATAAACAAATGGGACCTAATGAAACTTAAAAGCTTTTGCACAACAAAGGAAACTATAAGCAAGGTGAAAAGACAGGCCTCAGATTGGGAAAACGAAGCAACAGACAAAGGATTAATCTCAAAAATATACAAGCAACTCCTCCAGCTCAATTCCAGAAAAATAAATGACCCAATCAAAAAATGGGCCAAAGAACTAAACAGACATTTCTCCAAGGAAGACATACGGATGGCAAAAAAACACATGAAAAGATGCTCAACATCACTCATTATCCGAGAAATGCAAATCAAAACCACAATGAGGTACCATTACACGCCAGTCAGGATGGCTGCTATCCAAAAGTCTACAAGCAATAAATGCTGGAGAGGGTGTGGAGAAAAGGGAACCCTCTTACACTGTTGGTGGGAATGCAAACTAGTACAGCCACTATGGAAAACAGTGTGGAGATTCCTTAAAAAGCTGGAAATAGAACTGCCATATGACCCAGCAATACCACTTCTAGGCATACACACTGAGGAAACCAGATCTGAAAGAGACACGTGCACCCCAATGTTCATCACAGCACTGTTTATAATAGGCAGGACATGGAAGCAACCTAGATGCCCATCAGCAGACGAATGGATGAGGAAGCTGTGGTACATATACACCATGGAATATTACTCAGCCATTAAAAAGAATTCATTTGAATCAGTTCTAATGAGATGGATGAAACTGGAGCCCATTATACAGAGCGAAGTAAGCCAGAAAGATAAAGACCATTACAGTATACTAACACATATATATGGAATTTAGAAAGATGGTAACAATAACCCTATATGCAAAAAAAGAAAAAGAGACTCAGATGTATAGAACAGACTTGTGGACTCTGTGGGAGAAGGTGAGGGTGGGATGTTTCAAGAGAACAGCATTGAAACATGTATATCTAGGGTGAAACAGATCACCAGCCCAGGTTGGATGCATGAGACAAGTGCTCGGGCCTGGTGCACTGGGAAGACCCAGAGGGATAGGGCGGAGAGGGAGGTGGGAGGGGGGACCGGGATGGGGAATACATGTAAACCCATGGCTAATTCATTTCAATGTATGACAAAAACCATTGCAATGTTGTAAAGTAATTAGTCTCCAACTAATAAAAATAAATGGAAAAAAAAAAAGAGAATACTTCATATTCTTCAAATGAAATATCCATAAATCTCTCTGACAGCAGAGTGACTCAGCAGCAGTGGCAACAAAGGCTGACATATATATCCACACGTCTACTTTAATTTGCGGCTTTGTGTTTACACCTCACTTTTTCACATAGTATTTCAGGGAAGCACACGTCCCCTTACATGGAGGTTAGGGACCAGATCTCAATACTGCATATTTAGGGCATGCGCCATGATGTATCATCAGCAATGGTGGACTCTCATTTCTGTAAGCTTAGTGGCGTTAGGTTATACCATCTCTGACACTGCTCCCAGCTCTATCAACTATAGACATTTTCTATAACCTGCAACATTTATGTAAAACCCTAAACAAAAGCACCTATGCTAATACCTCAGTTAAGAGGGTAGCAGTAGCATGCCAGTCTTTAACAGATACATGGAACTAATTTGTAACTGTAGCATGATTTGTACTAATAGGATGTGGAAGAGCCTATTGCCATAAGATAGCTCCTTCTACAATATTCTTTCTTTTCTCTTTCACTTGCAACTACTTTTTTTCCCCAGACAAAGTAGCAACAAACCACCGACCCCTTATTAATATTTTCTAAGGACTCTATTGATTCTGAATTCCCTGAAATATGGAAGCTTTCAAATCCAAAATTAAACTGCAAAGTAATGATGACTTGGAACACAGATGCAACATTAACTAGAAAATACAAACCACAAAGCCGCATTAAGAAGGCAGATAACATGATATGAGGAAAAAATTTGGAAAAAGAACTAAAATAATATCATTGTATGGGTGATGCTAAAATTTCACATGTTATTTTATATACTATTCATAATAACTCCCTTGTAGGTGCAGCCCAACAGAAAAGCAGCAGAGCTCTGACCCACTGAATCTTAAGCAGCAGAGCTGTGACTTGAACTGATCCAGGACAATTTTCACTTCAACATCTTGACGCCTCTTCTAGGCTTTACTTCCAGAGAGTTTTACACATTTGTAAGCTTGGGCTATTGGTGTAATCTCTGGACCTCAGTTCAACCTTACAACTTCTGTACCTTTCATGTATAAAATGCCAACACTCTTTTAAGTCTTTAAAACATTCCTTATTCTCTGAGAGTTTTTCGTAAATGCATACTTTGCCTAACAAAAGGATACCCACCTACAAAACACTCTCATTTTAGATTTTTCTCATAAGAGAGGTACTACTTGTAGCTTTTTACTTCCTAAAGATGTACATTTAGATACAAGCTCAGATATGTGCATACAAACAAACAGGATCTATTTCCAAAGCAGTTCAGAGGAGGAGTCAAACATCCTTTTGCCCTGGCTCTCCTGTTTTCACTACACTATTTTGCTCTCTTTGGGTAAAGGATTTTCTTTCAGCTCACTCTCTCTCCTTCTAACTTGTACCTATTTTTTTCCCCCCAAACCACAAAAATGTTATTCTCTTGCCCTGAACTCTTCTGAAGTGTTTCAGAGGATGGGGGAATCAACCCAGGGTGGTTTCAGGTTGGCTACTTCTACTTCCATCACTTCATATCAAGAACATCCCCAAATCCAGAACCTCAGCCAACTGCCTTCACTGGCCTAATAGGAATGGTTCTGTCTTTGGACCAAGAACAGTGAAAGACGGAGGGAGGGCAGCTGGTAAAGCACTTCTAGGAAAAGACAGCAATAATCACACTATCTAGGCTTAAAGGCAGAGGCAGTAGAATATGAACATCACCAGTCTCCTCAGTTTACCACACATCACTAGTCACACGTTACAGGAAAGACTTACCCCATCCAACACCTGCAGCTCTCTGGACAACCTTTCTGCAAAGGCCTCGGCATTGGAAATTGCATATTCACAGCCTTCCATCATTATCTCAATATCCTGCTCTTCTCTTGCATTTAACTCTTGGTATTCATCCACTGCCTCTTCGTCACCTCCTGTCACACTCTGGTTTTCTCCACTTGGAACAGATTCTTAAAAGAGGGTAAAAATTAAAAATAAAGCAGTAAAAAACTAGGAAGGACAACAGCATTGTACTGATAGGTAAGGTCAGTTATAAGCACAGGTCACATTTACTGGCTGAAAAATAGGGAAAAAATGATTCAAAATATATGAAAAAAACCTTATTTTTATGAAGAACCGCATATGTTAACATAATGTCTATTATAACAAAAGCATGCAGTCTGATTTATTGACTTGTGTTAAAACAGGCCTTAGTCACACTTTACCAAAACATAATTAAACTATAAAACAAATATAAAACTGGTAACAAAACACATGTACAAGCCTAACCTTTTTATTTTCCAACCTGAGATAACTGTTGCTTTAATACAATAATGCTTATGAATTCAGGACACATGAGAAACAATTTGGTTTCCTTTTTTTTCCAGGTAACACCTTCTTCTGTTATTTTTGTTCTTTTTGTCTTTGTTATGTTTTGTGTTTTCCTCCAAATAACTTTCAATTGAAATTTTAAAAATGCATCTACAATTCATAATTTATTTTGGGCAATGAAAATATTAACTGAGCTTTCCATTTCTCTCTGTAAAAATTTTTCACATGTGTTTATAAAATGTCTAAGGATCAGCTAATAGAAACTTCCTCAATATCTGTATAGTAAGAACAACATCATGGCTGTGTAAAACTACAAAAATTTCAACTGTCTTCCTGCTTCAAAACAAAAGACCAGGAGGTCAGAACTGAGATGTTTTCTAGATAAATGTCTCAGTTTACTTTCTGGAAAGAATACACTCAGCATATGGGATTTTATATAAATCTTGAGATCAAGAAAGATAAAATGAAAAAAATAATTTTACCTTTAAATAAACCTCAAAACAGTTACTGTTTTTCAACAATTCACAAGACACGATTTAAAACACAATTTCCAAGTGTTTTAAATATTCATTATTTTGTATGAAAATGAGAATCTACATTCAGCATGACTTGACATATGTTAACTTGTCCTTGAACAAAACACCTAATTCAAAGTAACAAATGATCTACTCTTAAGAATGCTAATTAGGCAGGTTTAGATAACACAGCAGAAGAAAAGGAGGGGCAATTACAGACTGCAGTGCACAGACACAAGCCCCTCAGGGCGGCGTCTCCCAGCTCCCAGCCCTTTCCAAGTCCCTCTGGAGATGCTACGTGTCAGCTGTGCCGCTCTGTAGCCACGAGGGGGCGCGGGACGCCCAGGCCATTCTGCACAGCTCCTCACACAAGTAAACATTTAAAAGAAACAAATACTTCAAGTGATCCTAATTGTTTCAGAACTATTTTCTCTTCCATAAAACAGTTCTTTGGAAGTCAATAATGAATACTATCATTAATTTTTATTAGCATATGGATTTTGTTCTAATACATTTTTCCCTGCACACAATTTCATAAAATATGCAACCAATAGTAAAGAACAATGGCAAGTAATAAAAAATATATGGAATAGAATAAGAAGAAAAGGTGTTACGCACCTTCTGTAACTTTAGGCAGTTCTGGAGAGTAAAAAGGTATGAAAAAAGCAGAGGAAAGTAAGCAAAGAATATTAGCTGGGTAGAAATGTACACAGGTTTAAATATTAAAAATACTACCCACATCTCATTTGAACTTCATACTAAATTAAAGCTTAAAAGACAATGTCAAATACAACTACCAATTGGAAATATTCATAAGAAGCTAAATTTCCAGAGTTCATTTTTCTTATTCATTTTCTGACAGTGACTAAAAATGCATTTATCTTTCTATTTTCTCTTAGTAACATACAGTACTGCCGAGACCTTAGAGGAGAAAACTGGAAAACAGATTACTTTCTGGGGATTATTTTTAGGTCAGTTGTGACTCATGCATTTAGTCTAGTTATTTTCACTCAAGACCCAAAACCTTTACCCAGACACTCCCTCACAATGGATTAGTCATAAAACATTGTTAGAAAGGACAAGATGGAAGCAATTTAAAAAAACACACAAGATATCAGTTCAAGCTGGCTTTTAAGAATTCAAGTCAAAGATAAAAAAAAAAAAAATCTGGCTGTAAGAATGAAAAGGAAAAGGCCAAACAAAATCTTCTAACTTAACCTGTTAACAAAGCCCTGTTTTAAAAATATTATTCTACCAAGAAGCCCCAGTTACTAGCATGAACATTCATTTGTCACCAATGAAAACCACTAAAGCTGTTACTGCAATGAACAGTCTTACTTGAATGATTATTTAGCTCTTAAAAGGAAATGGTGATAATTTCTCATTTGCTTTCTAACACAACCCAAAGCTTAGAGACTTAAAAAAAAAAAACAATTAGTGGCCATTATTTTAAAGTCCAGTAAAACATTAAACTAGTTTATAGTCATTAATAAAACTACTATATAAACTCCATTAAATCAAAGCAGTAGCTACTGATATATAGAAAGTGATTTTCAAAATGAGATACTTAAGGATCTTAGTATTCTTAAAATTGATATCAATTAGGTTAATGTTTATAAAAATGTCTACACCTTTGCTTAAGGCTCTGAAAAATTAAATGTCTTTTCTTTTTTTAAAGCTAGTCACCTTATTCTTAAAAAACAGCAATACTCTTTTTATTGACTTTGGTCCTATTCCTCAATGAGATAAATACAGGTAGGGTATGTATTTTCCCATATTGTTAACTAAACAAAATATACTGGTTTAAAATACATTTTAGGCAATAAGTAACAACTTGAAATATATATTTGAAAATGGAACAGAAAGCTTATGGATCATTCACTGATCAGAATGCTCAATCCTGAAATGCTGAAAAAGAAAAAAAAAATTAAAACAGTTCAGCTGGTTAAGAATCTGCCTGCAATGCCAGAGACCCCGGTTTGATTCCTGAGTCAGCAAGATCTGCTGGAGAAGGGATAGGCTACCCACTTCAGTATTCTTGGGCTTCCTTGGTGGCTCAGCTAGTAAAGAATCTGCCTGCAATGCGGGAGACCTGGGTCTGATCCCGGCGGTGGGAGGATCCCCTGGAGAAGGGAATGGCTACCCACTCCAGTATTCTGGCCTGGAGAATTCCATGGACTGTATGGTCCATGCGGTTGCAAAGAGTTGGACACGACTAAATGACTTTCACTTTCACTCAGAGCACATTAAGCTATTATTCAAGGCATGGAAAATCACCATAAATTCCTTAAAGGTCACCAGAGGCTAACGCTGGCAAGATGGCAGCCCCGAGATCTCGGACACGAGGGCAGCCCCACCGCAGGGAGGAGCACAGGGCCCCCGCCGGTTCCAAGCCTCAATCCCAAAGCTGTAACGGGCACACTAATTAACAAGTGATGGACAAGAATGCTACACTTAAGGAGAGAAAGGCAGCCGAGCAGCAAAGGAATTAAGAAAAACAAAATGGAGAAAGGACAGAGGCCAGCACAAAGAACAGTCTGAAGCACCTGAGGTTGACATTTTTATAGGTCAGAATGGTTGAATATTCGCAATTTCAGATGTTTCAACTTGACAGAACAGAAGCCTCTATTTTTAAATACTAATATACAGCTTAGGACAAATCTTTCTAACATATAACTTAGGACAAATCTACTTATTTTCTTCCCCTTAGTAAAGAGGAGCTACAACTCTGTCCACCTGCTGCTACTTCAACTACTTTCTTTGAGATGAGGAATACAACAAATTCTATCTGCAAGGCACACAGAACCATCTTCTCACAACACGTGTGCCCTTATAAAAGAAATTTTAAAGATACAGAAAAAAAAACCTCATTGTACATTTTCAATAACAGTAGAGTTTTTGTCTTATAACACAAAATAATCCCTAGTGATATTCCTGAAGATGTATGATCTAAAATACCTTAATTTACTTCATGTCTAAGGACTTTACCCTATATAACAGAATAATAATCACTAATATACAATTGAGTACTTACACAGCTTTGGCACTGTTCTCATCATGTTCATATATTAAGTAATTTAATCCTTACAATAATCTTATGGAGTTGATACTATTATCTCTGTTTCAAAGATAAGAGAAATTGAAACAAAGAGTAAACCAAGGTCACAAAACTATAGTAAGGGACAAAACCAAGATTTGAATCCAGGCAGTCTGACTCCAGACTTGTATTCTTAAATACTACACCTATACACTACACAAAATTACAGCTATAAAGATATTCATCTCAGAGTTGTTTAAAATAAGATTGTAAAACTTTTAAAAAGTGACTACTTAAAAAATATCCAATACATTATATGTCCAATACAATGGAATACTATGGTGCCATTAAAAATACTGTTCAGTAAATGTTTAATAACATGGAAAATGTTCACAACACATTATATGAAAAAGAATGGGAGGTAACAACGTAAATTTATTTAAAAACAAGTATTTAAATATGCGTAGAAAAAAAGACCAGAAGAACATCTAACAAAATGTTAACAGCAGTTATATTTCAGGATTAAGTTTATTAAGTGACTGAATCAATTTTCTATAACAAATAAGCATCACTTCTGCATAAGGAAAATTATTTTTAAAAAAAGATATTTCAGAGTTTTAATTACTTTGAAGAATGCCAAATTATATATTCACTTACAGATATACTTTATTTTACATACACATTTTTATTTAACTTTACCTTCTAGAAGCTGTGAGCTAACATTGACAAAATCAATTTTCTTCCGAAGATATCGCTGATTCAATTTCCAAATGCATGAAATAAATGCATTCTTTTCAGCAGTGCTGCTGGCAACCCATTTATATATTTTTTCAAAATGTAAATCAAATTCAGGATTTTCCTGCAATAAAAATACACAATAGATATCTATAATTCAATAAAACAAAAAGAAGCTGAAGCTGTTGTTGGAAACAAAAATCACCATTAAAATTCAACTAAGTAACTTGTAGAAAATAGTTCAGAAAATTCAACTTATAGCAAAAATTTATTTGCCTCCCAAAAGAAGCTGAATTAAAAACAACACAGTTGGCAATTTCCCTTCTATATCCCTTAGGTCTATACATGAAAGTACAGGATGTCTACTTAACGGCATGTGTTTCAGCTTCCTAATCTATAAGATGACAATGGTGTTGAGTTTTGATTTTTCTTTTCAAATTGCCTTTTGGGGTTTCAGAGTTACACTTTTCTTTAATAATGTGCTATTATTCATAACTGTGATTTGACACTAATTCCTTATATGAGAAAAAATACAATCTATATCCGAGTGTTGTTTCCAAGAACACATGAGGTGGAAAGCAGGGACTGCTCCTGTTTTCAATTCTGAAAACACAGAATAATTAAGAGTGTTTCAAAAGTAAAAAATACTGGTGGCCTTTTTTTAATGAAAAAGAAGTTCAATTGATGTGAGAGAACTGCAGAAGAATTATTACAGAAATAATTTCATGCCTTGATATTCTCCCTTGAATGCAGAACTACTTGATTACTATATAAAAAATGAAAACACATAGATGTATACTTTTCTTCACATCTAAGGAATTAAAAAATAGTCTCAAATGTTTTTAATGTTCTGTAGAAGGCTAATCATACATTCCATTAGTTTAAAGTGTTGTTTAGGGGGGTAAAATATAAATAAAGACCATAAACATGGAAGAAAAGTGATACCAGACTTTTATTATGAAGAGCTGAGATAATTTAATGATTAAGACTTGACATATCACAGTAGGATGGTTGAATTAATTAATTTATAGCTCAATAAGCAGAACTAAAATGACAAGAGATTAAAAACTTTCATTTACAATGAAAAAGTAATTGTAATAAATTGTTGCAGTCACTATGAAAAACAGCATGGAGGTTCCTCAAAAGACTAAAAACAGAGTTGCCATATGATCTAGCAATCCCATTCCTGGGCATGTATTGGACAAAATTATAATCTGAAAAGATACATGCATCCCAATGTCCTTTGCAGCACTATTTACAATAGTCAAGACATAGAGACAACCTAAATGTCCATCAACAAATGAATGGATAAAGATGATATGGTACATATATACACTGAAATACTACACAGCCATAGAAAAGAATGAGACAATGCCATTCACAACAAATGGATGCAACTAGAGACTGTCATACTAAGTGAAGAAAGTCAGAGAAGGACAAATACCATATATCACTTATATATGGAATACAAAACATGACACAAATGAACTTATCTGCAAAAGAGAAAGAGACTCACAGACAAAGAGAACAAACTTGGGGTTGCCAAGGGGGAGGAAAAGTGGGGGAGGGACATGTTGGGAGTCTGGGATCAGCAGATGCAAACTATATATATATAGAGAGAGAGAATGATTAAACAAGGTCCAACTGTATAGCACAGGGAACTATATTCAATATCCTGTGATAAACTATAATGGAAAAGAATATATATATATATATATATATATGTCTAACTGAATCCCTTTGCTGTAGAGCAGAAATTAACACAACATTGTAAATCAACGGTACTTCAGTAAAATACACTTTAAAAAAACGGTAATTGCATTAGTATCTATAAAGAAATCTAACAGCCTTGGCAACCAACATGAAACTTGATGGGAAATGATCTCTTCCCTGGGAATATTTCCCATAATGCCATAAAAGAGGCTGAGTGCTCCAGCAGCAACACTCACACAAATCGCTGTGTGATGCTAAATGGCTATTAGGCTATGTATAAAATTTTTATGTTTTATATCCATATATAGCATACACATACGAAGGTGCTTGCATAAAATGAAAAAAAAAATCCATTAAGCAAGTCAGCAATGAGGTGTCAGCTGAAGAAGGCATTCAAATAAGCATTCAGCAATGTTAGTGAATTACACAAGTCAATGGGCTTATGAAATGTAAAACTATTGAAGAGAAGAAAGCTTTTTAATAAAGGTGAGTTTCTAAAAAGCCCTTAAAGTATTTTGTCTTAAACAGACAATGTTTCCTCTTGATCCCTCCCATAATAACAGAAATTATTATATAATGCAAAGTGTTTTTAAAAAATCTCATTTTCATGTTCTTTTCAAATACATACACATGCACCCACACTCAAAGCACCTGTCAGACCCCATTTTCCACAGTCCACATTTTTTAAAAAATTGGGTGCTTTGTAGGAATCAACAAAGGCCCAGTATCCCTGAAATACTTAAAGAAAAGGCATTCTCTCCACTTTGAAAGAAATCACAACTCTACAGATATGCAGGACTCGCCTAAACTTGTTTTTGTTTCTTTAAAAAATTTCTGTTTGCACCTGACTCAACTGCTTGTCATTCTGTCCAGCTTTTAGATCCTTAGAGGTCTGAATCAGGGTCAGCCTAAAACCAGACTTTTATTTTATCAGACTGCTCTACAAACGTAGAGCTTTTCACTTCTCTGTGCCTTTTGAATCAATGTAAAGACTTGAAGAGCTCACTCAAAGGGCACCTGCAGTTACAGTACTGTAAGCCTTGCTTACAGCCCCATCCACAGTACGGAGGATATGCTGCAAAGCACCTCTGGAAGGGCCCGTGGGCTGCAGAGAAAGATGAGGGCAGGGTTAGAGAGGCTGAGGAGGAGGAGGCACATGCTTTAACCTGAAGAGCTCTACTTGATTTCCTTTTTTTTTTAATTTAAGGGGTACTGCTGTGAAAAGCCTTGAACTGTCAGGAATAAAGGTGCTCCTTTATCATGATTATATTATTCAATCTTCTTGGAATTTGAGTGACTTAAGCAAAAGGTGTGAAATCTTATTTCTTTAATATCTTATATTTTATTCTTTCTGGAGAAGGAAATGGCAGCCCACTTCAGTATTGTTGCCTGGAAAATCCCATGGACAGGAGCCTGGTGTGCTACAGTCCATGGAGTCGCAGAAGAGTTGGGCACGACTTGGTGACTTAACAACAACAGCTGTACTCTTTAAAGTCCTTAGAATAAGGGGTGTAACTCAGCGCCATCACTTGAGCCACAATGTTCAAACCATAGCTTCACAGGGCCAGCTCAGCTGCCTCAGCCAATGATTCTGCATTAATTTGTGAGGGCTACCTGAGGAAGATTCACTTTGATTATATTTTATGTGATTTTTTTTTCTTTTTTCTTTTTTTATGTGATTTTGAATAAGGTTTTACCAAAACAATGATTTTTTTAAAAAACTCACACTACAAACCACCTTAAAATCCATACTAATTCATGGATTCTATATTAAGTATTCCTAATCTAAACAAAGAAATGTACAGTCAAGGTTATTTTGCTCTAATTATGTAGCTTATGAACAAACGTAACTGCAGCTCAAAAAAACCCATAAACAATGAAACAAGCTTACATATTTACTTATTTTCAGTAGCCTGAGACTGAGAAGTGGGAGAATGGAAGGCTGGACCATACACTGAAGACTAATTCAAGGTTAGGTGGTGAACCACTGGGTCACAAAATAAGTTTAGATCATCTTAGAAGTCAACATACTATGTTCTAAAATGAAAGGCATGTCAAAGAAAAAAAGAAAAACATACTTTAATAGCATCCTTGGCATCTACCACAGCCAGGTCTCGAAGGGCCCAAGCAATCTGCCTTTTGTAGAAATCTCCTTTATCAGATTTCTTGACTTTGACCACCTTCACCTGTACAGGGCGTTCAGTTGTCACTGTTGAATAAAACATACACTTTCATTAGAGACTTTATTCATTTCCTCATTCTTCATTCATTCATTCACTGCAAACAGCTGTCAAATGCCTGGTGGTGTTTAGTCGCTAAGCGATCTCTGACTCTCTGCGACCCTCATGGACTGTAGCCTGCCAGGCTCCTCTGACCATGGGATGTCCTGGGCAAGAATACTTGAGTAGGTTGCCATTTATTTCTTCAGGGGATCTTCCTGATGCAGGGATTGAATCTGTGTCTCCTGCATTGGCAGGCAGATTCTTTACTGCCACCACACGATACTAAAGCAGGAATAGTATTTCATAACAAATGCTATGACTGAGGAATACACAGATTACTAAAAGAAGAATCTAAATCAGACTATAGGGTCAGAGGGCGATTCCTTAAGAAGTAAAACTCTTAAAACTCAACAATAAGAAAAAATATTCTGATTAAAAAAAGGGCCAAAGACCTTGACAGACATCCAGCCAAAGAAAATATACAGATGGTACATAAACATATGAAAAGATGCTCCACATCATTTCTCATGGGGAAAATGCAAATTAAAACAATAGGGAGATACCACTACACACCTACTGTTGCTTAGTCACTAAGTTGTGTCTGACTCTATGTGATCCCACAGCCTGTAGCCCGCCAGGCTCCTCTGTCCATGGGATTTCCCAGGCAAGAATACTGGAGTGGGAGGTCATTTCCTTCTTAGAATGGCCAAAATCCAGAGCACTGACAAGACCAAACACTTGTGAGGATGTACAGCAACATATACTGTTACTCGCTGATGGTGGGAACTGAAAATGGTATAGTTGCTTTGGAAGACAGTTTGGCAATTTCCTAACAAAACTAAATATACTCATACCTTATAGTCTAGCAATCATGTCCCACAGTATTTACCAAAACAATCTGAAAACATGTCCACACAAAAACCTGCACACGGATGTTTATAGCTGCTTAACTCAAAAGTGACAACTTGGAAGCAACCAAGATGTCGTTCAGTAGGTGAATGGATAAGTAAATTGTGGTATATCCGGACAATGGAATGTTATGTGGTGCCAAAAACAAGTAAGCTGTAAGCCATGAAAACCAGTGGCGGTAACTTAAATGCATATTACTAGATGAAAGAAACCAGTCTGAGAACGCTACATACTATTTGATTCCAATTACTATTTGGTCTTCTGGAAAAGGCCAAACTATGGGGACAGTAAAAAGATCAGTGGTCACCAGGAATTGGGGAAGAGATGAACATGCAGAGCAGAGACAATTTTTTGGGCAGTGACAATACTCTATGACATTATAATGACAGATATATGTCATTATCCATTTGTCCAAACCAACACCAAGACTGAACCCTAAGGTAAACTATGGACTTCAGGTGATTATAATTTGTTAATGTAGGTTTATTCTTGGTAACAAATGTACCACTGTGGTGAGTGGTAGACAAAAGCTATGCATGTAAGGGTAAAGGTATAAATGGGAATTCTCTGTACCTTTTTCTCAATATTCTTGTAAACCTAAAACTGCTCTAAAAAAATAATAAAGTCTTAAAATGTATTAATGCTAACAAGAATTATCATTTATGATAGTATAAAAAAATCTAGGAATAAATAAATACCTAGGAGTAAATACAACACATGTGCAAAAGCCTTTAAAATTATAAAACTTACTGAAAGTCTTTTAAACTATAATCCTTGTTGAAAGGCATTAAAGAAGACCAAGAGAACCACACCATATGCATGAACAAGAAGATTTTATATAAAAATGGACGTTCTCTCCAAAGTGAACTATAGATTCCAAAACAATTCCAATAAAAATCCTAACAAAATTTGGAACATGACAGGATGATTATAAAATTTAGATAAAACAACAAAATACCCACAAGACAACATAAAAACCAGATATAATAAAGGGCCCAGAAAAAAACAAACACTCATCACTACAAACATGGACACAGGTAAATCAGACTGAAATATGAAAGGTAAAATTATAAAACTTGTAGACGGTAATACAGGAGAATACTTTTAAGAGCTTCCCTGGTGGCTTAGACGGTAAAGAATCCGCCTGCAATGCAGGTGACCTGGGTTTCATCCCTCGGTAGGGAAGATCCCCTGGAGAAGAGAGTGGCAACCCACTCCAGTATTCTTGCCTGGAGAATCCCATGGATGGAGGAGCCTAGTGAGCTACAATGCACGGGGTCACAAAGAGTCAGACACGACCGAGCAACTCACACACGACACGACACATGACAGGGGAGGGAAGGACATCTTAAACAAGAGACAAAAAGGCTGTAAGTGGTCAGATAAACGATCAGATTGACTAATCTGATTTCATTAAAATTATGAATGTCATCAAAAGGCATCTTAAAAAGTGAAACCACAAGCCACAAACCAGGATGCATATAACCAACAAATTAGCACCCACATTATATAAAGACCTCAAAGAACCAACCAACCGAAAAGGACAACCAACACAGTAGAAAAATGAACAGAAGGCTTAAACAGGCAAATTTTAGGCAATAAATGACTGACAAATTCATGAACAGAGACATAATCTCATTTTTATTTAGGGAAATACAGTTTAAAACCACAATGAGATTCTATTTCACACTCGCCAGATTGGAAACAATTGACAGTCTGTCAAAACCCAGTGTCAAAACCAAGTTTAGATTAAGATGTGGAGAACCCAAAATACACACTGCCTGTGGGAGTACAATCAGTACAACTACTTTTGAAAATAATTTGTTATTATAGTGTTGAATATTCACATGCCCATGACCCAGCAATCTCATACTTAGCTATCTACCCCAGAATATTCTTGCCTATACACTGGCAGACAAGGACAAACATGTTTTGTTGCCTGAAGAGCAAAACCTGGAGACAAATCTCCTGGTCATCACTAGTAGGATGGGTAAGTAAACAGCTGTACTCTCAGAATAGAACACTACATAGCAGTGGAAATAAAAGACTTACAGCCATGGGAGAAAAACAGAGGTAAAACTCACTAACACGAACCTACTGATGAGTGGAAGTCACAAATGAACACGTGTTACAATTCAACTTATGCTCAGTTTAAAGCAAATCTGACAATATATTATTTGAGATTACAAACATATATGGCAAAATGATAAAGAAAAGCAAGGAAATAGTAAATCAAAACTCAGGATACTTGTTACCTCTTGATGAGGGAGGGAAGGGAATGGGAGCAGGGCAGGGTACACAAGCGACTTCAAAGGTAACGGTAATATTTCTTTTATTCTAGGTGGTGGCTACACAAGTGTTCATACCTTTATAAGTTATGGAAGTGCTTTTGTATATTTTTAATATTTAATTAAAGACAACTGAAAAAAATGAATTTGCTGGCCCAACAGTTTTTCCAATCATAGAGACAATGAGAATATTTTATAAACAACCAGGAAATGTCTCCAAGGAATAAAAGAAATCTTTCCTTATTAAATACTCACCTGTGGCACATAAAAAGCAGTTCTTTTTCTTTTTTCCTGCCTTGCAGACATTGACAATACTCAGCAGGCGTTCGTCATTCGGAGTAAAAATGTCTCTTTGTAATGCATGCTTGATTGCTGTCATCTTTACTCAGCTGAAAAATTCAGAGTATAGATATTACACTTGTCAAAATCATCCTTCTTATATTGTTCCATTTAGGATTAGGAAAAGACCTTATTTATGGTTAATAAGCATGGGGGAGTAATTTCATACATTTGTACACTAACATCATAAAGACAAGACACTGTGTGTTTGGAAAAGAAATTAGAGAACCAGTATTATCAAACTCTAAGATCTTTGGAAGTGCTCACCAAATATTAAATATATTTTTAAAAGATTTAAGAAAAATTAAAAGGCCCATTCCCAATATTTAAATATAAATTTCCTATATAAATAACTTTTACAACTCAACAACAAAAAAACAAATAACCCAATTAAAAACTGAGCAAAGGGTTTGGGAGACATCTCTCCAAGAAGACATATGAATGGTTAAAAATGACATGGAAAGATGCTCAACATCATTAGCCATTAGGGAATCATAAATTAAAACAATGAGATACCTACCAATTTACACCTGCTAGGATGGCTAAAATTAGAAAGGCAAGTGTTGGTAAGGGAACTCTCATATACTCCTGATGATTGTAAAATACTGCGGCTGCTCTGGAAAATAATTTGGTGGCTCCTCAAACAGTTAAATGTGAATTTACCACATGACCCAGTAATCCACTCCTAGGTATATACTCAAGAGAACTGAAAATGTCTGTCCACACAAAAACATGCCCATAAACATCCACTGCAGCATTATTCACAATAGCCAAAAGTGGAAACATCTCAAATGTCCTGGGGAACAGCAAAATGAAATACATCCATACAGTGGCATATTATTTGGCCATAAAAAGGAGCAAAGTACTGATACATACTACTGACACACAGATGAATCCTAAAGACATTATGTTAAGTGAAAGAAATCAGTTGCAAAGGGCCACATATTTCATGATTCCATTTATATGAAATGTCCAGAGTAGACAAATCCACACAGACAGACTGATTTCTGGTTGCCAGGGGTGGGTGGCAAGCAGGCATAAGGAGTGACTGCTAATGTGTAAGGGGCTTCTTTTGGAGATAATGAATATGTCCTTCAATTAGACAGTATTGATGGATGCATAACACTGTGAATATACTGAAAACCACTGAATTATATACTCAAAAAGGGTGAATTTTATGGTATATTAATTATATCTTTAAAAAGCTGTTGTTAGAAAACAGTTTTCCACTCGTCTTCCTTTTCTCATCTAATTCAGTGTCTTTTTTCAAATATCAACCTAAATATTCTTAATTTTATTTGTTAAATGTACTGAATACATATTTGTGTGTATGTATGTGTGTATTATTATTTCCAATGCAGGTGTATAGTATTTAATACATGTGAGCTGGCTTAGGAAATTAACTTCTAACACTGTTTCTGTGGGAAAATGAAGGAATTATGAGTTTTAAATAAGTGACTTTAAATGTATTTTTATAATACAATGACTCTTTTGAAAACTCCTCTATTTTACTCAATCTGTAACATTTCTATCTCTGCTCCAACTCAAAAAAATTGCTTTCCTCAGAAAAACCACATCTTCCCACTTCCATCCCTATTCCCCCTCATCTCAGCCTCCAGTCTTCTGATCTCCCCTTCCATCCTGTTCTCTTAGACCATCTGGCCTCTCCAAGCTTAATTTCCTTCCCAGTCTAGCCTGGAGGCAGTGTTTATTTCCATACACCCACACCATTCCTTTCAATGATCTTGCTCCATTTGTAGGCCAGTTCACCCTGCTCATCAATCTCCATAAACTGTCTTTTTTCTCTCCTTCTCCTGGGCTACCATCTAGCACTTAAGAAGGTCTCATATCCATGCCCACTGTACTCATTACAACTTTTAAATCCAATCAATGCTAAACTTTCAACGCTGCTCAGCAATTCCTTAACACTTCCTTTGATGATCTCTCCTCCTATTCCATCGGTGTTGCAAATCCTTCTTTTTCTCCTTCAACCCCCAACTTTGTCAGTCTACTCCCTCTCTGCAGATGACTTCACCATCTACCCTGGAGAGAATATAAAACCATGAAGAGCAAGTTTCCCCAACTGCTTTCTTCTCCATCTTTCTACATTCCATCTTAACCTCCATTGCACCCATTATAAAATGTCTACGTTACTATCTCTTCACGTGTTCTAGAGCCTACACATATGCTAAAAGCTCAACTCTATCCTTTGCCGAAGCCACCAGTTTGCTTTTCTATCTCCAGGCTCTTGTTCATGCAATTTCTTTTTTCTCAAATTCTTTTCTCCCTGGGAAATTCCAATTCATCCTGCTAAAATATGACCTCTTTTGTGAAATAGTCACACACGCCAAAAAAAAAATCCCTTTCCTACTCCTCTAACATTTCCCCTCTAGTCTGCTAACACAGCACTTACAAACCATATTGTCCAGTTAGTTGTATTCTTTTCCCCATCAAGAACATTTCCTCGCAGGCAAGGCCTGTGTCTTATTCATCCTTATATTCCCAGAACTTGGCAAAGACATAGCAGACAGTTAATAAATTCACCAAAATAAAGGCACAAAATAACCTGACAGCTAAAGCATTTTGCTAATTTTTCTTCATCTACACATCATTTACCCACTCCAGTACTCTTGCCTGGACCCCATGGACAGCGGAGCCCGGTAGGCTACCGTCCATGGGGTCCCAAAGAGTCAGACACGACTGAGCAACTTCACTTCACTTCACACATAATTTACCCTTTCTGGTCCTACTGGCAAGGTACAATCCAGGTTCACACCAACTACATCTGTTTAACACCACGGCATCTGGTTACCTCTTTGCAAGCTTCCATAACCCCAAAACACTTGGCAAATAATATTAAAACATACCTTTCATCATAATATGCCCTTGCTCAACACTTTCCTAATACTCCCAAAGACAAAACTTTCACTCCAAGCCCTCTGATCAGTCCAGCCTTTAAATCTTTGCTTAGGAGATTCTCTATGCAGAGGGTATCATCTACCCAAATCCTAACTACATTCCATAATTTACATGAACTTGATTCAATACAGACAATCCTAAAGGAAATCAGTCCTGAATGTTCAGTGGAAGGGCTGATGCTAAGCTGAAACTCCAACACTTTGGCCATCTGATGCAAAGAACTCCTTGAAAAAGACCTGATGCCGAGAAAGGTTGAAGGGAGAAGCGGATGACAGAGGATGAGATGGTTGGATGGCATCACTGACTTGATGGAGATAAGTCTGAGCAAGCTCTGGGAGTTGGTGATGGACAGGGAATCCTGGCATGCTGCAGTTCATGGCAGTCACAGAGCTGAACAGGACTGAGCAAATAAACTGAACTGATTCAATACAGACCTTAATGCAAATTGATCTCTCCTCTCAACTGCTATACCACTTACTGCATTTGTTAAACATCTAGCACTTACTGTCCAACTGGTTCATAAAGTCACAAATTCCTGGATCTCAAGATCCAGGGGCAGGGGGATGGCTGGGGGAGGAGGTGTTTTAACAGTTTCATGTTCTTTCTTAGTAGGTACTAAACAAATACCTCTTGAGGAAATCTCAGCTGAATTATAAAAACTGGTTAAATGAATGAATGACTATTGGTGGTTAGCATCTATCAGCCAGCCCCTCTTTGGTCAAAAGCAAGGACTGACAGTATGGTAAATGGTAAAAACAAGAGAGGAACTAGGCACAGTTGATAAAGGAGTTAGGCAGAATGAAAAGCACTACACATTCAGCAAACAATGATGCCTACTAAGTGTCAGGCAAAATTCTAGGTTACATTGGTGAATATGACAGACATATCCACGAAGACAGGAAGATTCTTGCCTTCCAGACGGCATCTACCTTATAAAGATGGCGTGAGTAACTCTCCAGTGTTAATAGTACTTTTTTGCTTAAGTCAGTGAATAAATCATTGGACGTTCTTTAGAACTATTTCCCAGGTATAAGAACCCATGTCTGACCACGTTCCAGAGGCAGTCAGCCACAATACTCTATCTCGGTCCTTGTTTCCTTAAATGCAGCCGGATCACTACAGGATGTGACAGATAACTTGTAACTAGCAGTGTCACGTGAGTGAGTGTGTGTGGGCAGTACCGTGTCTGCTATCCAGACACCTTAGTACATGGAGCCCTGAAGAGAACACGCCACTGCATGGCAAAAGGGAAAGGCACTTAGGAGACTTAGAAGAAAATGAAGACAAAGAAGGGGAAGGTACTGCCACGCCCTCCTCTCCTGGTCCAAGCCAAAGAACAAACTGTTGAAGACCGTTTCTTACGATGAAATCTGATTTTCATGGGCGGAACCGGAAAAGGATTTCTGGGCTGCCCTCCCAGCCCCTAGGATAACAAGGGGTAAACGGGATCCTCCCACCGGCCTCTCCGCCTTAGCCAGAAAGGCTGGGAAGAGAAGGGGCCCTTGACGGCGGAGGAAGCAGTACCCAGCCCCCGGCGCTGAGCCAGCAGCGGGACTGAGGAGCCGCCTCCTCCGTTCATTTGTCCGCCGCCGCCAGGACCGCCCGGCAGCCGCGGCCGAAGGCTTACCGCAAGGCCGGACCGAGCCCGGCTGTGCCGAGGCGGGTCCTCCAAGACGGAGACCGGACAGGACTGGGGCGTCCACCGTTACTAGGATGAACCCCCCAGTTAAGCAGTGAACTGGAAGCAGCGGTCCGGCCACCACTTCCCATATCCGGGCACGTGACACACCTCCCCGCCGGAAGTCGGTTGGGCTGAGACGGATGCAGTCGCGGCTAAGGGCTTTGGCGAGGGGGTGGGGTCAGGTCTCCCCGGAGGGGCGTGTCTATGACAGGCCGGGGCGGGCCTTGTCGCTGGAGAATGACTCCATACCTGGGGGATTTGGTGTGCGTATTCCTTTCTCTAGAAGACTTATTTATTAAGCTATTTTCAACAGTTCACTTAAGAAGAGATCTGATCAGATGTTTTCTTTATTGCACGCGTAAAGTTCAGTTAAATCTAGATCAGTTCAGCCGCTCAGTCGTGTCCCTGTGGACTTTGCGACCCCATGGACTGCTGCTCAC